TACGAGACTCAGGGGCCTGTAGATTTCATTGGTTTTCATTCATTCAGCAGCAAGTATTTGCTCTGCTTTTGTGCCTTTGTCATTAGGCCCGCTCAAACACACACACACTCAGATACACCCCTCCCATGCGTTCCCTCTTTCTCTCTGCTGGAATGGGTATTGTGTTCATGATCGATGTGCCTCATTCCAGTGACGTGGTAGCCTGGCTAACTCTCATTAAAAATGGATAGGGTGTAGGGGAGCCGCCAGGGTGTGTGTGTCTGTTCTATACATGCTTAAAAGGAGGTGTAGATGGCAGGAAGTCCCAGAGGTGCCAGCTGTTTACCGTGCACTGCTCAAGGTTTCCCAGGTTGGAGGAGAGAGCGGCGGTGGTGGTGGTGGTGGTAGTTGTGGGGGGGTGTTCCTGAGGTCAGAGCCGGGGCTGTTGCCTTGGCAACAGCTTACAAAATAGCTTCCTCTCCTTTACTGGTGACGGTGGGATTTTTCTCTTTCTGTTGCTTCCTCTGTCGCTCAACCTGGTGAGGCACATCTGGCAACGCAGAGACCAGCTCCCATCAGAACACAAGGCAATGGGCCGTTTCCACTCTGCTCTGTCCTCCTTTATCTGTTTTGTTTTTTTCTTTTTTAGTCTTTCTTTTTCTGTCTTCTCTTCTAACTCTGCCTCTGTGCCCCCATCCATCACAGAGGTGCAGTGAGCATGGCTGGGTCTCAGGGCAGCAAGGATAGAGGAGCAACCATTCATTCTCAGGCCACAGAGACAGTGGAACAGATGAAAGCGTTCCTGCTGCTCTCTAATGCACATACATTGTCAGGCCCTCTTGGGTGCCACAGCCAAATGCCTCTATCCTCTGCTGTGTTCATCTCCACTCAGAATGAAATTAAAAAAACAAGAAGCAGTTTTTACAGGTGGCAAGAAACAATGGAGGCAGATATGTGTGTGGTAGAAATAAACTTGGTGAGAAGGAAAGCAAATGAACAAAGATTTGTTAAGTATTTAATAAGTTTGAGAGCAGATACAGTATCATACTTGAGCATGCATCAGAGCAGCTTGTAAAACTGTTTCATGACCGGCAGAAGGAAACATGATGGAGCTTAACCAGTATGTAGGTGTACAAAACTAGACATATGGAGTTTTTGCCTTACAACAACTAGATCAGGGGTGCGTGAAGGTTTGTCTGGTTGGGGTTGGTTTTGTGGTTAGGTAAGTGTGGGTGCAGTGGTGTGTGCAAGGGGCAGATTGATACATGATGCATGCTAAACAGAAAATTTCCATCATGATGACCAGTGGGATTTTTACCCTTTTATGTCTTCAAATACAAGAAATGAGGCAACACTTCTAATATCCCCACCTCTGCTCTGTAATACTATCACTTCACTTTTCCCTAATTCCTAATCTTGAGCTGAGTTCATTATTTATAATGCTGCACAATAAAAAGTCTGCTGCTAGTGGCCCCAAATGGGAGCAAAAGGTGCCAGGTTAATGCTAGAATGCTTCATTAGACAAAAAAAAAAAGATATTAGGTGACATTAAAAAAGGATTCTCTTTTCACCCACTGTTGCTGTGTGTTTAAGGTTGATAAAGAAATGCATATGTTTGTATAAAGTGTTGTTAATGCTATTATGTGTTAATGCTGCTGCCTAAAACCCGAGCTATACGTTTTAGTAAAAGAAAGAATAGACCTGCATGAGTGAGGGCTTGGCTATAATCATGAAAGCTGCGTCCTATTCAGCATGAGACTTTGAAAGGGAGGAAGCTGTTTTAACCCTCGGCTGTCAGTCAGTCACCCAGGTTTGCTCCAGTATGCGACTCCACTGTAGCCTCTCTGGTTGAATAACCCCCTGCTAAGGTCATCTTAAGCTGGAATTTGATTTGCATTCATTTAAGCGGAGCACAGTGCTCCTTGCTGACAGTGCTCGGTCTACCTCGGGTCAGCTGTGGGTGTGAATGTGTTCTTGGGCAAACGGAGGCAGAGAAAGTTGGAGACGTTTGCCGGATCACATGCCGAGCTTCTTTGTCTTCCTTGAAAACACAGGAACAACAATCTGCACATCCGTTATGGCACTGTGCATGCAAGCGCACACACACACACACGCACACACACACACACACGTACACACAGTGGGAGAAGGGGCTTCATTGTGCAGCCCTGCTGTGTTGAGTGACTGTAGCGTGTGCTGGGCAACAGCTGCTGTGATCCCCCACCTCTCTCCCTCACCCCGTCTCTCCCCCCCCACCCTCCTCACCTCCACTACTGGCCCATGCTGCTCTAAACATCAATACACTGGCAGAGACGTATATATACAGCACACAGAAGCATACTTTCTGTCTTCATCCATGCTTTTTTTCAGTTCCCAGCTTTTTGTTTACCTTTTTATCTCGCTCTCCCTTTTCCACATTACACCCTTTAGCTTTGTTTTTTTTTTTCCCCCCTCAGTGTTTCAGTCTGTACTGTATCAGCTGACAGCGTTCTGCGTCTGTCTGCCTTTAGACACTGCTTCATAAGGGACACCCCGAGCTCCCCCAACTACTCTCTGACTTTCCCCCACTGACAGCTGTCTCCACACTGTAACCCTTTCATGATCCCGGGCCTCTGTGAAAGTTACATTCTAAAGTTTCGCCAGCCTCACGCATGTTTTAAGAAGGATCTGAAGACTTTTTTTGGGGGGGTTAAGAGAGATTCAGAGGCTTTGGGATACACACACACAGACTGTGTTGCTGTTCCCTGCGCCAAGTCTTGTTCCTGGTGGGCTTGTTTGTCATCAGTTGCTGCTTCTGCTGCTGATGTGACCCCGTCTGCAGCTCATTACAGCATGCCACCTGTTTGTCCCGAAGCTAAGCAAAAGACACACACACACACACACACACACACACACACACACAAATAGAGTTTGTTGAGGTGACAGGGGGTTAATCTAACAGGAGTGTCCATGGTGGAACTGCCACACAGACTGTCAACGTCCCACCGTGTCAATGGCTTTCTTTGTCCTCCGGGCCTGTCTTTTCTGTTGCTGCAGGGTTTGGGACCAGGCAGACAGGTGGATGGTTATTGAGCTTTTGAGGGGCAGAGACAAAACAATGAGTGCACATATAGGCTGCAACTCATATAGCTCACAGTTTTCACAGCAGCTGACAGGTCTGCTGACTGCAACTTTACAGAGGGCCATGCAACAGCAGACACATGTTACGTATTTCGCTGTCAGCTGTTTTGAAATTCAATGCTTTACATACAACGCGGATGAGCTTTTGATGGACACCCTGCTGTTGTCTCTTCCGAGCTGACAATTAATTCCAGCCCGTGGTGCTAACAGCAATTAATATCACCCAGTTGTGGGCGATATGCACGGGGTCAGAAAAACACTTAATAGGTGTTATTTGCACCCTTCATTCACTCCCCCACATTTTACAGAGGAGCCACTTATTAGGCATTGATCTGAGCCCGAGGTTTGGAGCTGAACAGGGTAGCACACTGTCACAGTCTGCTGTCATTATCTAACAATTGCCAGGAAATTGAAAGACATACAGAACAAAAAAATATATATTTTTTAATCTGCATCTAAAACTCACTTTTTCCACCCCTCGTTTTTTTTCTTGTGCCTGTGTCCATGTGTTGTACAGCGGTGATGTTTTTGTTGCTTTATGTGTATGTGTGCGTTTACTCCTGCTGACACAGTGAGATGCAGGTGTGAGTAAGGCGGCCCCACGAGACACTTAAAGGCAGACAAACACACACACACACACTCACAAACACATGCACACAAACACACTGACCTCTACATCTACAGACCTCTGTGGTGAACAAACAGACTTATTGCCATGTGAGTGAGCAGAACATTATCTGGCAGACAAAGAGATACAGACAAAGACACAACTGCACACACACACACACACACACACACACACACACACACAAAATCTCATATATTTGTGTATAAATCGACCTAGGGATGAGTACATGTTATGTAGCAGCTGAAAATAGACCTGTGGATCGCACAACAACTCAGCTGACTCATCCTCTCAGTATTTGGCGCGCTGAGGTGATGTGTGTTTGAAGCTTGTGCTCCTCTGGAGTGCTGTGTTCATGTACAGTATGTAAATTCTCAGTCCTGTATTTGTGCAAGTGTAACATCAGTCGCATAGGTTCGTACAGTAAGCACAAGGATGGTTTTTTTTGTTTTTTTCTTGTACCTATGTGGGCAAGTGTGATATGAGGATGGGAAATGTATTTACTTTGTGCGCATTGAAATTTATTGCTGATGACACTTTTAACGTTTTACTTTGAAATACCAATTTTACTCATCATCCATCCATTTTTAAAAACATTTCACAGTACAGCAGTAATAGTTGCTTTCCATTTTTACACTTCTGTTTCAGCAAGATTTTTTATTTTTTATTTTTTTTGACAAGATTGTTTTGTTGTTAAACTTGAACATGACACTGGCTCCTGACACATTTTACATTTTTGTAGTCAAGACTTTGAACATTCTCTCGAGACAACCATCTGTCGCTGCTCCTTCTTGTGTAAGTGTGTTTGTTCAGGCTCTACCTAGGTGGACAGATGCCCTGCTGGACACAAAAGCCTATTGATGGCAGAGAAACAGCTTTCTCTGGCCAACTGATCCCAGCTGCTCACAGCTGTTTGTGTGGCTAAATGCAACAGTTGCCAGAGCAGCTGACATCAACATACAGGGGCAACGTACATAACCGCGTGGATCAACAAAAATGATTAACGTTGTTTTATTTTGAAGGAATCAGAATGATGAAGTATAACACATTTCAACAGTTTATTTTTTATTTTTTTGCTCTTGTTTACTTCATGTGGGAAAGTCAAGGCTTTATCCTTAATCTGTCGGCGCGTGACTGTGTGAATGAGCAGGCCTTTGCTATTCACACACACAAGAACACATATAAATCTGTTTTGGGCTTTTTTTGGGGGGTGGGGTTGCGTTTTGTGATGTTTGTCTTGCTGCACTCTGACGGTGACCCTTTAATGTGCTTGCAGGTCACACAAGTTCCCATCGAGTCATGTGAGCAGTACGGGACCTGTGGAGAGTGTCTGAGCTCCGGGGATCCACACTGTGGCTGGTGTGTCCTGCATAATATGTGAGTATCCCTCAGTCGCCATCGATTCTGTTTATAGACCCCTTTTTTTTCATACCAACATCTTCAAAACTGGCCCACACAATGACAGGCAGGATATTTTTTTCAAATGTATAACTCAAATGAAATAGAGTTTGAGGAGAGGAGGCGGTGTCTGACTGAAGATGAATAGTGGTGCCTCAGATGTGCAGAGCTGGTTCTTTGCTGCAGTTTGGGCATGATATGATATCATTCAGTCCATGCATGGTTTGTTGGGAAATAAAAAGATAGACAAGAACAAACCAAAGAGACTTGGCCTGCGCAGAAGCGTCATGCACTTTGCTTTACCTCTGTATGCTAATGGACGTGGTTTATATCTGACGAGGCTCAACTATGAGAAAGTTCAGGGGTATTTACTTCCCACCCCAAGAGCACCCATAGAAGCCATGAGTGACACCTGCTGGAGCTGAATAATTACTGCAACCGAACTAACTTCTAGAAAGCCAGACAGGAGGGAAACAATTCATAGAAAAACAACAGCACACACTTAAAATCCTATGTATTTATTATATATTGCACCTGAGTTATTCATTGCAATGTTTATCTTTAAATTGGCCTGACACGGTTGTATTTGAATTAAATGAAAGCGAGAGTATTTCAGGGACAGAAGATGAATACAACACAATGCTAACAAAGCCTAAAGATATTCTGCTCCGTCTCCCTCTTTGTTTCTTAAGTACACACATTCTGTCATCAGTCTGAGCTTTTTCTTAGTTGCTGTGTCTTGAATTCCCCACTTACAACCCCTCCTAAATGCAGACCCTCTCTCTAAAGGTATAGCTGAATATTTGTGTGTGTCAAAGCACCGCTGCAATCATCATTATCGTGATGGCGGCCCCTGCAAAGTGCACTTAAAGTAATTTACATCACTCCAAAGCTGGGACAGGACAAATAATTGCCTAGCGACAAGGTAATTCAGCATGTGCTTGCAAAGGAACGGGAGGGGCCGACGAAAGCTCAGTATTCTCTGCAGTTTGCATGCCTTCACACAGGGATCATTTACCACAACATAAGCCTCCGTGCTAGGCTGTTAATCATATGCTTTTGTGTAGGTGTGGTAGGGAATGGAATAATTCAGGTCGGTTGGAATTTGAATCCACAGCGTGTAAGAGGTGTTAATGCTAAAAGGTGAGTGGGTTTTGGAGCTGTTATCGTAAAAGGCAACTGTGACGAGGAAACAGCTGTTTGGTGTGTAAATACCCTCCGGAGTACTTGTGTGTGAGGGTTTGCGCCTTAATGCACGTGCGCATGCGTCGGTGTGCAAGGGGTCGATTTTTTTTTTTGTACACGAACAAACACTTGTGTGGACCGCTGTACTGTACTGTGGGGAGAAAAGGTCAGCACCCTGATTTTGGTTAGCTGAGCCATCTGTTCTCTCAACACTGTGAACCCTTGTGCCACCTGTCTCTGATCCTAATCCCCCTTTCTTTATTCTGACCCTGAAATGAATGTGGCAGGACCCCTGTCAGCCATGGCTGAGTTACTCCAGAGAGGAGAAAGAAGTTAGCGAAAGAATAGTTTGCTCTTCTCTCTGCTACTCTTGTGGAACCATATGGGTCCGCCCACAAACATTTGAAAGCGCTGCCATTTCTCCAGCAGCTCTGAACTCGAGTATCTGTTTTGAGATGCATTTTCAGCTTGTGCATAACAGAGTGAAAATACCAGAAAAAAAATAATGGAAATATTGTTTTTAAAAGTTTCTACGTTTGACAAAGGTGAAAAAGATGCAATAAATAGTGTTGGAAAGAGATTTTCTAAATGCAACAGTGTCTGATTCAGACTCTTCCACTGTAGACAAAGCATTTATGATGCTGAGCTGCCAATCACAATTAACCATAATGACTGATAAAAACACAACGGCATCTTCTGTTGGAAGCTGCATTGAAAAGCAAAGATCAGAGTGCTCAGTTAATTACATAATCTTTTCAAGTCCTCTCTGACTAGTTGATGGAAACACACACTTATTAACTGGATTTGTGACATCAGTCTCGCTAGCGACATGAATGTAATATATACCAGAGAACAGAAAGAAGTATCTGTCAAATACTGCTGGTGAAATGCAGCTGCGCCCTTCTGGTGAAGAGCTCCCCTCATCTCACACACCCAAAATTACATTTCTTGCCAGCCGTTGTGCCATCCACAGCTGTGCTCACTACAGCTTCCTTCAGCCCCCTTTTTCCTTCCATCTTCCCAATTTTCTGTCATCCATCCCTAAGCCAGTGTTGATTTTATAAAATTGTCTTCCCCCCCTTTCCCATGTTTGCACCTCCCTCACTCCCCTCACAGCGAAGCTAGCATCTAAACTATGCCACTCATCTCATCTCCTCTCACTACTGCGCTGTCTCCCATTTAGACGCTCTCCCCTCTGGAATCAGCTCTTCCACACTCCAGAGATGGTTGGCTTGCCACACATAAACACCCCTCACTTTGATCACCCTCCTCCTTCCCTCTGCAGCTGCCATCCACAATATCCATCCTCTTTTCTTCTCCTCCAAAACCCGTGTCCCTCTACACTTTTCTTTATGTTTGTGCATGCACGCTCATTGAAGTGCAGCATTCGAAGGTGGCTAATTAGGAACATGGAAGGACATTAGTTTGGTTTGCAATGAGGAGGTGGAGAGAATGTTGCAGCGGCAGAATGAGGCAGTGAGCTGACCAGGAGTGGCGTCTGTGTCTTCCCTGTCTTTCTACTTTCTTTCTTCTTCCTCTGATTCAGTGTGGTGTGAGACTCTAAAGTCCTTTAATTACCAGCAGCTGTTAGGCATCCACTGAATGCATGGAGGGAAAAAAAAGAGCGAGGATAAGAATGAGGGGGGGAAAGAATGAGAGAGGGAGAGTGTTTGATGCTGCACACTCATCGGCCCACAAAACCGAGCAGCATTTTGATTGCAGCTCAAAGGGAGCTCATCATCTCGAGCGCTCTTCAGTCGCAGCCATGTGAATGGGTAGTTCAGCCTTCGTCTGACCACATTCCAAAAACATGGAGTTATGGTGATGCTTACGCTCCCCCCCCTCTCTGTCTGTCTCTTTCTCTCCCTTAGCCTGCATCTCATCGCTGTTAGATTAGCTGTCTAATCATGCCCAAAAGAGGCTTTTCCATCTCAAAATGTCCCACATCACTCCGCTCTCCCTCCATCCTCTCAACCCGCTCCCACATTCCGGGAGAGGCCGAGCGGTTTTGTTGAGATTTGTCAGGATTAGCAGGAAGTCTGACTTCTGTCCAAGAGCAATCCGGTGCCAAGGTCAGCAGTTAACCAGTACAGCAAGTTTCTCCAAGTTGTATAATTAATTTTTTTTTATATATATATAAGCTTCACAATTTGACTAACCAAGTGAATGATGATTGGTTATCATTATGTAACAAGTGCCTAAAAATGCTGTTCAGCGTGTGTCGAAATCAGTGCTAGTTTGTTGTGAGGATGACAGCTTGGGGCTATTGGTGTAGTAGGCCCCAGCAGAGAGTGAGTCAGCATTTGAGCGCTGCTCTGAGCAGAATAGTATATCGCTACTACACTCTGATATCGTATTGTATTGTACTGTCAGGCTGCATGTGGCTCAACTGCTCGGATCTTTTTCTGTAACAACCCACACAGCGGTCTGATTGGCATAGCTGTCCACTTTTCACAAATCAGTGCCACAAACCTAAAATGCTGTCAAATGATTGGTGAAGCGTCCTAGTTGAAGCACGTTGGATAGGTGCATGTTGTCAGCGGGAACAGTCAGGGTTTGGCACAATTTCTTAGCCAGGTAGCTGGAAGTAGTCGTTCTAGTTGTTTTAAAACCAGACAGCTGAGTCTTATTTTTATAACTACAACTTGTTCCTCTAGACTGTTTGTTTATGTGGCGCAGGTGATGAAAGCGCCGCAAATGATGTCCGACAACAACCATAAAATCTCCTCTAATTCACCAATGACAACAACAATTAGCCTCACAATGAAAATAGCTGCTCCAGACTATTGTGGTTGTCGGACTGTGTGTCTAATGGCCAACTCATCAGCTCTCATCAGTTAGCAGTCAGAAGGAAGCAGCATCCATCTTCCCAATTGTGCCTAATGAGATATCGATCACGAACATGCAGGCCTGTCAATATTTCCATAGATTCCGAGCATGCAGAGCTGGTACATGTCGGCCACATGCTGAAATACTGCGGCGTGTACTGTATGCGTGGGCAGGCAACATATAACACAGCTAATGATTACAAAAACCTACTGTGTCTGTATCTCTCGCTTGATTTTCTTTTTGAGATTTTTCCATCCCCGCACTGCTTCCTCTGCCCTTTTTTTTTTTTTTTTTTCTGTCTGTTCAGCCCACACAAGTAAAGCTATAGTTTGATGCAGAGCGCTGAGCAATGGTCTCTTTGTAAATCTTTTTCTCTCTCCCCTCTCCAACCCTCACACAGTACCTTTAACAGACTGACACTCTGGGTTTTGCATAAACCTTATATGTGTGTACATGAGCATTTTACTACGTGTGCTTATTCAAGTTGACTCACGTTAAACTACAGAAGTTTCAAGATGAATGGATTGCGCTGTCTTTTTTTGTGTCCTGTGGGTCCTGTCCTGCAGTGACATCATCATTCGCCACAGGAGACGCACTATGAGCTGGCGGGGGGGTTGAGCTTGACCCCTGACGATCTCTGAGTTTCAAACTGCACCCTCACATGTCAGCCAAAGCCCACAGAGGAACTTGAGGAGTTCACCATCTCTAGCTGCTTATTATTTATTTTCGTTATCCCTCCTTCACTTCCCTATGTGCCTCTTGTCTCCTGCGTTTAACTGGATATTGTCACGCTTTAGGGAAACAAATGCCTCGAATCACTCAGGATGAGGATAAAACACCAAAGGAAGCAAGCGCTGTGTGTGTGCACGTGTGTGAAGCATGTAAGCGTGTAAGCAGCCCAGTGCAGCACATCGCTGCTCAACTAATGATTCCACTTTTCATGTGTGGGGAGCCCAAGTCCCAGTGCAGTCAGCCTTCATACGTGTTTACATTAACACGCATTTCTGAAGAAATGCAGCTTCCCCAGACTAGAGTTCCATTCAGGCAAATCAAATCATGCCAGTGATTCTCTAACATAATGGGTTACCACTTAAAACTAGTAAAGCTTTGTTAAGCACATCAAATATTCAATATACATCTAGTTCATCCTCTCTGTACATCCTCCACATCTTACCCCTCCCACCGATCGTCTCCCCCCCCTCCCACCCTGCCACCAAAGTGTCTCTGCTGTGCTCTATTTTCCTCTCTGTATGGCGTTTCTGTGGTCTTGTGAGGGAAGGAAGGTGATTTTAAAATGGCTCCCCCTCTGTTCTCTCCTCCTGTTTTTAAACACGGTGCTCACAGCGAGAGCCGCAATCAGACAGGCCTTCACACTTTCACTGAAGTCCTCAGATGTCGTAAGGGAAGGGGAGGAGGGCTGAAAGAACAGAAATCTTTCCCCGTCGTCTGCCTCTCCTGCTCTGCTGTCAAGGCCGTGATGTGTGTATATGTGTGTGTGTGTAAAGGTGTGTATCAGTGTGTGAAGGATTAAATGCAGGGGACTGTATGTGTTCATGCCTATGTGAGTGTCAGAATGCTTAAGAGTACATATTATTCATATGTGGCCATGGTCCCTTCCGGGGCTTGTGTGTCTGTATGTGTGTGTTTGTGTGAGTGGCTGTGTGTACTCATATGTCTGCGTGTCAATCAAACCTCGGCCGAGACGAGACAACGGTGTAATTTCCTGTCAAGGGCAATAGAATAAGACACAGGCAGCGGTGGAATGGACCCCAGCGCCTGGCCTCTGCTACCCTCACCCTTCCTTGCCGCGGAAAGCGCTTTTGCAGAGAAGCAACACGACAAATTACACCATTTCATATAGGTTACCGAGATAGATTACACATAACATGCAAAGGCTTCATTTACACCTTCCAGCTCCAACAAGTGCAGCCCACACAAATTGCCACAGGAGTAAACAATATGCTCTTCTTTGGTTTTTATGTGTCTGTGTGGTTTTTTTGTTTTGTTTTTTTTTCATGTAGCAGCTCACCTTACATGGCTCTCAACTGCTTTCATACTGCAGAGGAGTTGTAGATGCCAGAGAGGAGTAATGATGGAAGTGCAAGCAGCTACTTCAGCACCATGGACAGGGCTTTGAGAGAATAACACCCAGGTCGACTGCCTCGAGCTTCTGTGGAAGGGAAAAAATTGTTATGAGGCGCTTATTACAGGAGATGGACTGAAATTACTACATGTGTTTGTGCTGTCCATTTGTGCGTACATGGAGGTATGCGCTTTGGCACGCACACACACACATGTGGAATAGAGTGATGGAGTCAGTGAGTGACAGGCCATGGCTAGACAGGGGAATAAGGGGGGGTCCACAGAGGAGGAGGTCAGGAGGGGGAATATGAGGAAGGCAGGACTGTAGTCAACACTCAGTGGCATGTACTTCAGCTAATGAGAGAGGCAAGGGGTCAGCTTCTAACTACACAGAGATAATGGCCATCTCCTGAAACCATGGCAACAGCAGCCATCCTGCGTGCCTTCCACCCCCGCTGCCTCACCCCCTCGCCACGCTCTCATCTTACTTCACCCCACCAAAATGAATTTTATTTAAAAAAAAAAAAAAAAAAATCACACCGAGGAAAATCAATGCGGAGCTTTTTGTCAGTTAATGACTGCCCAGGTTTTTGCATCTGTACCCATACAGCTCGGAGACATGCATAAAACATTGTGCCGCAGCCCACACCTGAAAGCACATTAAGTGTCATTTTCAGCTGCCATTGTGGATGTAAAAGAAGCGCCAAATTGCAGACAGAGTAGCACCTTGCCTAAGAAAGGTGTATTAATTTCAACTTGTGAAAGAGTGAGACAAAGGGGAGACACGTGGACAGATAGTGGGAGAGAGAGAGAGAGAGAGAGAGAGAGAGGGGAGAGAGAGAGAGGGGCAAAAATGAGGCAGATTTAGCAATGATGGAGTCAAATGTGTAACATTAAGAGGTAAGAGAATAAAGAAATGTCACCTTTAAAGTGCAGAAATACAGTTACCAAAGTAGTAAAGGCAAAAACCAGGTAATCATTTTGGAGAAGAAAAAAATCCTTCTGATGCGGTGCCCCGTTCCCCAGTGGAAGATTCACACTACTACACTAATTCTACACTTTTCTGCTCTCTAAAATCCCAAGGGAGTACTCTGAATATGAGTGTTTGTATGTGTACGCCTTGTGTGTGTCTGTGTGTGTGAACCTCGGTGTGCTTGTTCATGTGAGTCCGCTGGATATGGCTTGAACTTCTGACAACATAATTACACACAGAGACTGTGGATGAAGATGTAGCTTAGAGTCAGTATATGTGAGAGTATGTGGTTAAGAAGCATGATATGGGCCCTAACACACACACACAGACACACACAGACACACACACCAACACACACACACACCAACACACACACACACACACATCGAGCAGCCAGGGGAGAATAGGCAGAGCTTGTAGTGGCACATCAGCACCATGGACAGCGGCTGACCCATCAGAGTCCAATTAGAGCTGCTGTGACCAGTCAGCCAGTTAGCCAGACACTAAGACTGCTGGTCAGATGAGGACAGAGGGCCTTTGCAGTAATGGGGTGGAGGGAACACAGCTCTAATAAGAAGTAGGAGGCGGCTGAGTTTTAATGAGGGATGTGGTGGTGTCGCGTGGCGCTTGATACACTGTCTGACCATTAAGATCTCTTATGAGTAAGCGCCTTGTAATTTGCACTAGTTACATCTCCACCGTTATGCAGTGATTGAAGGATATAATCTGGGTGTGTAGTGCTTTGTATTGTGGCTACATAGTTTGTTCATACTAAATTACCCACTGGTGGCAGTGGCTCCCTCCCCCCCAACTTGTTTCTTCAGTGTTTTTTTTTTGCTGTTTATTTTTTGAGGAATGCAAACAGATGTAACGGATGTTTTTAACCGATCCAACAAAACAGCAAAAGCGTTTCAAATTATGTTTCAATATGCCATCTGTTTTGCAAAGCAAGAGAGGAAGGGGAAAAAAAAGAAGAAAAAAAACAATCTGGTAACAACAACATGACTTCTAGTCAGACTCTAGAGCATTTCACATCCACATTCTTGATCAACACAAAATAAAAAGAAATCTGCACGACAAATACAGAACAAAGAAGTCCAAAGCATCTGGCATCATTTTTAAAGCTGTTGTTGACCAGTCATAAAGTCAAAAGGTGGATGCACTTATTTTAATTATACATGCCCACACAGTGTCTTATAAACTACAGTGTTCAAACATGGGTAGTCACTTCTGTCACAAACATGAGCTATCACATTGAGGAGACGGTGACAGTGTTATTTCCTCCCTACAGCACTGCTGCTGGATATTTATTTCATTCCTTCTACAACACTGTTTAATTTTCAATTTCTCCGACAATGTTTACTGTTAGTGTTTTTGACATTTAATCCTCCTCTTTCCATCCCTTTTTCTTTTGTTTTTTGGATAGAGTTTTAATTTCTGTCACAGTTTGTCTTTCTCGCTCCCAACTTAAACGGTGTTTTTGTTGTAGTATTTATTTGTAACATCTGTATTCATTTCTATCACTATTGTTGTCACTCTTCCATTGTTTTCATACCTTCCCTCTATTTTTTAATCCTAGTGTTTTCTGTAGTATGAACATTTTGGCAACACCTCTTTTTTCCTATAATGTATTCCTTCATAGCTTTATGTCCTAACGCCGGTAACATGTTTGATTTGTATTTTCTTGTCAAAAACCAAATATCAGTAACTCCTTCCTGTCTCTCTCCCCTTCTCTCTGTTCAGATGCTCTCAGAGGAATCGCTGCGAGCGTGCAGATGAGCCGTACCGTTTCGCTGCATCTCTCAACCAGTGTGTGAAGGCCACTGTGTACCCAGACAGCATTGCAGTGTCAGAACCTAGTGTACCTGTAAGTTCACACACACACATACACACAGACACACACGTATCGCTACACACGGTACACAAAATACCCCCAATCCCAACCGCCGCTCACAAACTCGACAATGAAAAATTAGCTCCTATCTACATATTTCCCTACCCACGTACCAGAGGCAGAGCATTTTAAATGATCCCACGTAGCAGTTCACCTAGTCTTGATTGTGGGTGATGCATAAACATTAGATGGGAAGCTTCGTGAGAGCTCCATGTGGGCGTTTCAGCATGCATATGCTCACTTGTTACAGAGCAGTCAATATGTGTGCCAAGATGTGTTTGTGTGGGCGTGTGCGTGGGTGTTAAAGTTGTCCGAGTGCAGCCGAGTACAGTACAGTATTTCCACATGGACTGAGTCAAAACAGGCAGAGATCATGAGTGAAAGGCTCCGTCTGTCCAAGTTCTGCTGATAGCTGTACATGTGCGCACACTGACACCTACTTTGGCTTTAAATACCCTCTCTGTTGAGGGGTCATTTCATCCACATAAGTAAACAATCTATTCACATTGGTATGAGATGTCAGATTTATATAGATCTACTTATAGGCATAACAAGATTTTTTTTGTTATACTTCTGTGCTGCTCACAACAGCTTTTTGGACTAAAATGTGAAGCATTCTGCCAAGACTTTCTGTGTTACAGATTTTCACATGATTTCTTAGCACTTTAATCCAAGTAACAACCCAAGTGGTACTAGACTCTTCTGAGACATCTCTACAGCAGACATCTCCAGACCTCTTCAAAATTCACAACAGCAAAAATGGATTAATAGGCTGCACAGACTTTTTCCCATGTATTTTGGTTAAGCATAAAAAATTCTGCTTTATGTGCCAGTCTCTCTGGCAGCAACTTGCCCTGCACTGCGTGATATCTCGTCCTCAGCAGACCTTTACTCTGATGTCCACTTTGCTAAAAAAGCTTTGGTATTACATTTTAGCATGTTTTTTACATCCGTATCGGTAACAGGGTCATCTCACCCGAGCCATTCACAAAATTGCTCACACAGATTCCACAGGGGCAGACAGCTATCTCCATGACAACACATCCTCTTCATGTGGGCACCCGGACAGATAGAAGACAGATAGAGAAGACAATGAAATTACCTTTGCTAAAAATCTGCCACCAATTAGGTTGGTTGCTGCCAAGCTGCAAAAAAAACCCACCCCCCACCACCACCACCATCATCTGGGAAGGCAAGAGAACAAAAAGAGCAACACTAAGAGACAATCTTATTTTCTGTAGCGGCCTTGCTGTCTCTGGGTTTGTGCGTGTGAGAATGCGAGCAAATTTTGAGTGTTTATCTGTATATGTGTGTTTGAGAATGATGAGAGCTAATTAATGTGAGAGGTTACTCAGGGAATTTTACATTGAACAAAAGACATTGATTGCTGTGATTGCCGTAATCAAGGATCTCTCTGACACCTCTGAGTGAAGCAACACAAACACGGTGAAAGTAAAACAGGGGGAAGACGAGAGGTCCTCAGCAGAAAGAAGAAAAAAAAAATAAAAAAAAGGAAGAAATCATCCGTCCTCTCAATGGGTACCAGCGTAAGCCAGCTAACGAGGGAGGCAGTGTAGTCAGCTAGTGAAACAGTCAGCATATCTTGAAAGACCTACAGTTAAGCTGCTCAGCTGCCTCGCCTGTCCCAGTAGCCCTGCGGTGTTTAGTGAGAGGCAGATAAAACAAAGAGAAACTTCAAACGGTATGGCCCAAAAATAACAGCTAATGGAACAAGGCTGTGAAATGCCATGGTGATAATTATCCAGACTGCCTCTCTTGGCTGGAGAGCCAGATCACACACCCTGTGCAGAATACGTTTATTTATAGGCAGAGCAGCTGAACGCTCCAGCCCCAGTGTCACTGCTCTCCAGAGAGTGACTTCAAACGCCTTTATGTGTATCTGCATGTGCGCGGTATATTGCATATGTACTGCAAATTATATGTGTCTATGTGTGTAGTTTTTGTTGCTCGCTTTTCCTGTATCTGTCTCTCCTTGTGAGTTCTAGAGAAAGAGGAAAGAACAAATAATATTTGCCTAGTGGCTGTTTTTTTTTTCCCCCTGTTTTCTCCATGCAGCTGAGTGTATTGACCACAGGATGGATCACAATTTCTGTCTCTACTTCTGGAAGGATATCTTCTACAGACGAATGGAAGATTAAGATCTAAATGCAGCCTTATTTCCCATATTATGCCGGTTTTTATGGCACAGAAACAATCCTTGGCAGAGTGGATGGTCAGCTTTGCCAACAGCAGTGTGTTCTTTTTTCATTCCACTTGGAGCTTATTATACTGCTGTATTCAAGCCACTATGGTTTTCACCATTTCTTCCCAGCCTGGCGTGTCTCTTTTTACCAAAGATGCAAGTGTTAATGTCTAGTAGTGTAGTGCAATAGGATTTTCACAAGTTTCTTTGCTAATATGACATATCGCACATCAGCCTGTTGTATTGAGTCGTGTAGGAAAATTTTGACAAATGAGAAATTTTCCCATTTGGATTGATGCTCAAAATATTCTTAACAACAAACATTTTACCAAAACCTTTGTCTTGTGCTCCTCCCATATGCAGCTTCTGGTGAAGGTGAGCGATGTTCCAGACCTTTCTGCAGGCATCACCTGCTCCTTTGGCAATCTGACGGAGGTGGAGGGACAAGTTAACGGCAACCAGATACTCTGCGTGTCTCCTGCTGCCAAGGATGTCCCACTCATCCCCACTGACCAAGGTAGACACTTTCACTACAGTGCATTTACTGCAAGATGATGAGTGGTTTGTAAGTGTGTAGTCAACAACACACCGATTTGATCATGGCAATTAGACAAGACTTTTTAAACATCTAATGAGCACTATTGTAGGGTTTCGATCTGTCCCTCCCTGTTGTTTATGGGGAACTGAGCCTTCTGCAGACACACTGAAACATCTTTAGTAATTCAAAACTAGTTTAACCAGGGGCCGTCTGCATAACAAGCACCCACTGATTCAAGATCAGTTGTCTTGTTGTGAAGTGTGCTATGCACAAGACCGGGCCACATTAGATGTGATGGAGGCTCAGACGGAGGTTCTCTGGCCCGTGGTCGAGCTACAGCGCACTAAATTACTTCCCTCTGATTCGGATAATAGGAGACGATCTGACATGCAAGTTCAATCAGTCAGAGGGCAATTAGCGCGGACGACAGTGATTCGATTTCTGTCTTTGCATAGCCAAGGCACAGACAGTAGGTCTGTTGTTTACTTCTGAGAGTGATAAATATGCAAATACCAAACATATAACAAATAATCAGAGGTCAAAAGAACAAATCGAGTTTTTTATTTTTATTTTTTACCTGAACTCAGAGAATCAAGGATGTAACACGAAGCTGTCTTAGGCGAACAAACACTAAGACAGCTTTTAGGTCCAAGAATAAAGATATGCTAATCACCTCTATTATACTATTCATAGAAATCTCATGACCTTTCAGGCATTCCTCCAGCAGGGTAAATATACAAAATAAATATATCACAGCGGTTCTGGCAGCCATTTATTTGCAAACATATATACCATTATGAATATTAACATCTGTTGTTTGACAATAAATGCCTCTTGTTTGCAAGCCAAGATGGCTGCAGGGTGTCAAAACTAAACACCCTGAATAATATATCATGTGCAGCGTGTGGAAATCACTGTGTGTTTTGGGGCTTTGGTAATCCTACTCCCTGTGAGTAAATGACAGCCCTGTTTGCCCAGAGCTCCCATGGGGAGTGGTGCATCAGGCCCTAATATGAATGTTCTCCCCCAGGTAAATGTCAGCCAATCCTCCCTGTAAGCCCTCCCTCCATCCATCTAGCTATCCATCCACCTGTTTTACTCCACATTCATCCCCCTGAGGCCTCCTGACCTCCCTGCTATCCTCCTCCATCTCCTGTCCCCCTAGCAAGCTTTTTCTATCTGCTGCACATCAACACAGATCATGCAGTGCCAATGACCTGAGGAGAAAAGAGGGAAAAGGAGGAGAAGATAGGAGAGGAGAACAGGAAATTAGATGAAAGGTGGAGAAGAGAGGGAGATAATAGAGGAGAGTGAAGTGATGGAGGAGAAATTAAAACTAAATTCTGTGAAGGGGCGGAAGGAGAGTTAAGGATAAAGGTGCGTGGACACTTAACTCATTAAAGAAAATAGCTGGCACTCTTCCTCCGCCGAGGAAAAAGATCCTAGAGAAGGTTGCGTGTGGACTGGACCTCTGCACCACTTTGTCAGATCCTGTGACACAAATGTGCACCAATAGAAGTCTGTTGTGAGCCTGCTGTACAGACTCATGTGCAACAAACCCTGATTCCCAACAGGTGCTGTGGAGAGAACAGAGCGTTGAGGGTCAGTCGAGCCGCCTACACACTGAATGTCATCTGAAAATTCAGGCTGCTCCACACATGCACGCATACAAACACACACATATTTATGGAGTCTGTATTCTCATGGGGAAGAGATAAGAGGCTGTTTTTACAAAGCACAGTCAAAACTCTGTTCAGCCAAACGCAGGTATACAAACTTCTATCTGATTAAATCGTTCTGTATGAGATTGAAATTTGCACTTTTCATTTGCATGTACTGTATATATTCACTAGCAATATTCCTTCACCTTCCATATAGCCGTCCTCAAATGTATTCATACCATTCCATTAAAGAAAAGGCAAAATTCACAATCGTACCTCAAATAACAAGAAACTGAAAAAGTAATAACAAATAAACATTTGCTAAATTATAATTTTGTGAAATAAGCATTGCTTTTGGATTGTGGTTGAAAAGAATCATTTAAGAAAACAAAAGTGTCCTGGACAAATTAGAGCACTTTGCTGATAAGCAGTGGGCCAAAATACCTGTCAACAGGTGCAGAAGTCTGACAGAAAACACTTGATTGCAGGGATTGGTTCAAAGGGTTGTTCAACAAAATGTTAGTGTACGGGCCCCATCATGCTTGTTTGCTATGTATATATATATATATATAAGCATTTGCTATTGGAAAAACTAAATCATAGGCAAACACAGTAGTTAGCGTGTATAGTTTGACTTTCAATATGTATATATATATATATATATACACACACACACACACACACAGAGTCGGCCTCATATATATACAACAACTCACAAGAAATGCTGCCCTTCCAAATGTCTTGTGTACTTCTGTGCCAAGAACCCTGGATTGAGACATCCTGCGAAAACGAATGCACATAAGATTTAATTAAGTCTGCTGATCACAAATATGCAAAATAATTTAAAGATTTTAGATGTTCATTAGGTTGGAATTCAGGTGTTCAATAAATGTTGATCTCCTGTCTCTTCTCTTTCAGACTGGTCAGGCGTTGAGCTTAGGCTCAATTCTAAAGAGACGGGTCAGATGCTTATCAGCACAGAGGTCAAGTTTTACAACTGCAGCGTCCACCAACTGTAAGTATCACTCTCTGAATCCATTCATTCTCTCTTCGTTTACAGAAACAATGCCCGAGACCTGCTGTCCAATACCACCGAATCAATGCTCTGGGAATTAGTTACAATTTGTCCTTAACCTTAGCCAGCCCCAAGTCCCCTAAAAATATCCGCTGTAAAAACTAATGCAATCTGATCGCTGACTGCTTCCTGTGCCCCGCAACAGGACATTTCTGTGCTGTTGTGCTAATGAAGCCTTTTCCACTGACATGCTGTGCTACAACACTCTATGCTTTCTGCTGAGCAGGTCTTCAGTAGGGATTTCATGGCCATTTTCATGCCATGTCTGTCCCTGATTGAGTGATGTTGAATTGAATCCCTGGATTGGAGATCTCAGTGTGTGCATTGCCTGTGCAATTGCTCGCCTCATTCCACTGTGGCAGATTCTGTTTGTGTGAGATCCAAAGGCCTCTCTGACTTGGGAGTATCACTGAGTGGAGCGCAGCAGAATCAGGGTATTACAGCAGCGATACTAGCGGGGGTGCAGGAATCATAGCGTGTCACATTATCCTTTGACTACCCCCTCGACATCAAAACAAAATGTTTTAGCCACTGTCTCCTTTGCCAGATGAAAGGTGGCAATTTCTCTCTCTTCTTCCCCAACTTCATATGGCTGTCTGCTGTCTGAGAACCCTGTCTGAGTAGCACAGGATGCAATTACCAGCTCTCACATCAGCTCAGTTAATCGGCAATGACAAACATACTTGCACTCAAACACACAAAGAAAGATGCGTACACTTGAAAAGGCCATAGACTCTTCCTTGCATGCTCTGATGCCAGCTCTGGCTCCCTTGTCCCCTCCCTCTTGCACACAACTGTACACTCAGTTTACCCCAAGGTAAATCAGCCATATTCTTTTGAATTAGTGTGTTTGCCAGATATACCTCCCATGCTTTTGCACCAATGAATACTTCACAATAAGCAAGTCTGAACCTTTTTTTCAGAGAGAGGGAGATGGGGAAGGGAGGGCCAGTTGAGACTAACATGCGCTCTCTGAACAACTGTTCTTGAATACATAGTGTAGTAAATGCCATCACAATCAATTAAAAGTGAGTGTTGTCTTTGCTATGGCAACGTGCAGAGAGTAGCATGCCTTGTGGCATCGCATTTTCACCCATATAACGTGTACTATACAGGAAAGTGCATTTATTTAAGTACTCTATTGAATTATAATTAGAAATGTGTATTAGAATTAATAATGAGATTTCAGTACATTTCATTTTAAAAGGGTCTAGTATACTTTTTTGATTGCAGGAAATAAATAATTTTAAAAACCTGCAATTAGCATCTAATATAAAATCTGTGGTAAAGTAAAATAGCTAAAAAAATAGCACTGCACAATCAACTTATGATATTAAAAGGCTGCTTATGCCTTAATACATGAGTAGTAACAATCCAATAATGTGACTAATAACAATGGCACATAGACAGGTGTGATTCCGCCGCAGTGCTTTTGATGCTTCAAGTTTGAATGCAGTATTTTTGCTTGTACTTTAGTCAAGAATCTTGGTATGACTTTAACCACCGGCAGTACAGTACATATCCCTACAGTGACACAAGCACACACACACTTACATATTGTACATGAAAGTGCTCACATAAGTGCACACACACACACACACACACACACACACACACACACACACACACACACACACACACCTAACAGCTAGTAATTACAGCAACACTTTAACAATTCAGGGCTAATGGTAATTGCAGGATCAAGCTGCGGCACTGTCTTATTTGTCCTCATTACTCAACGTTCCGCCACTCTCTCTCTCTCTCTCTCTCTCTCTCTCTCTCTCTCTCTCTCTCTNTCTCTCTCTCTCTCTCTCTCTCTCTCTCTCTCTCTCTCTCTCTCTCTCTCTCTCACTTATTCTCCATCTGATTGTGGTTGTGTGGGTTAATATTCAGCCTCCCGTTCACACATGACACGTGGTATCAATGTATGGCAGTCAAAAATATACGCAGGGAGAACTTGGCCCAGCAGCCATTAGGTACTGTGCCAACCACAAGGGCACAACAACAGCAGGTGCCCACTTGGGATCTGAACTCATTTCCTATGTGGCACTTCCCCCAACTTTGGCAAACTCGCCATCCCTCTTTGACTGCGCTGCTGCTTTTTTTTTTTTTTTTCTTTCCCCAGACTCCCTCACTCAGTGTGTGTGTTCATGTGTGTGTTTGCAGGTGTCTGTCATGTGTGAACAGCGCCTTCCGCTGCCACTGGTGCAAATACCGCAACTTGTGTACCCATGACCCCTCCAGCTGTTCCTTCCAGGAGGGACGAGTCAACGCTTCTGAGGTTTGTGGAAAACACATGCATGCACAAACACACACTTATGTATGAGCTAACCTGTCATCTCCTCTGTCTTCTCTTTCTCTCATGCACATTTCGTCTCTCCGTTTCCTCCTGCCTGCATCTTGCTCTGTGTTCCAGCTTTGTGTCAGCCTCGGGGCATGTCTTCAGAAAGACAGTCATCTAAGCTCTTCTATTTCCGAAATGGTGCTTCTCATTCAGAGCTCTTGTTCTCTGCAGCAGCAATTAACAGTCTATTATCCCTGCAGTTATTGAGCTTAGCAGGTCTCAACAATGACATGAGATCACTCTGACCATGTCAATCATTTGAGGTGGGAACAAACTACCTAAAATATGCTTGAATGTTCATGTTCGTTTCTATGGGTCTGTGGTTATGTACACATGCACTACTTTGATATCTGCTCGCACGGGCTGCTAAATATTTGTTTTTGCTTATCTAAACCCATTGGCAAAGGAGAAAAAGGTATGTTGGTAACTGCTCCCTTGGGTGTTAAGTTGCAGTGCATATGGATCTACTGCCAACACCACGGTGGACACCCCTCCAGCACCGTTTCTTCTCATGTGTGTTTGCTGTGGAAGTCTCACACAGTTTCATTAATTAGATCAGACGCTTTAGTCTGTGGCAGTATTATGAATAAAGGCCAGCCTCTTTCTGTCTGGCAGAAATAGTAGGTGTTTTAAGCAGTTGATCCCATTATAAAGCTGTATTAGAATATATATGATCTGGCAGGACTCAAGGTTGAAAGACACAGCTTCGGTGTTTAAAGCTGTGATTTTGATCTTGATTGTGCGAAAGTTTCTTTAATATTATATTGCAGACAGAATTGACCTCTAATTGCTATATTGTACTGAGCACTAATATCATCCTCATTGAGCAGTTTCTCTCTTCATAATGTGTTCTTCAACACTCTGGTATCAGTTCAGAGACTTTCAAAGGTCAAATTAGTCACTTTTAAATTCTACCTCGGAATGAATTTCTACTTCAGCTGCTCTTACTCTATTTCCTACTTCTTCTATTCACCTGTGTTCAAACTGTGGTTTCTCTCATCTTACTTGTGAGTTAAACAACAAAATGCACCATTCTTCTTTTTCTGTCTTTTTTTTTTGTTTTGTTATTGACACTCGTGCACTCTCTGCCCTGTGCTTGTTCCCTCCAGGACTGCCCCCAGCTGGTGCGCTCTGAGGAGATTCTGATCCCTGCAGGGGAGGTGAAGCCTATAACCCTCAAGGCCAAGAACCTGCCACAGCCTCAATCTGGCCAGCGAGGCTACGAGTGTGTCCTTCACATCCAGGGAGTCAGCCACCGAGTCACTGCCCTCCGCTTCAACAGCTCCAGTGTGCAGTGCCAGAACAGCTCGGTGGGTTAGATGTAGGCTGCAGATATCAGCCTGCCTGGCCGCTCATTTCAGGCATTCTTTTTACCCCTTTCTTCGCGTTCCCATTTTCAGAAAATCACAAGTTGAAGACGATGGGGTTCGTGTCTGCTCAGATCTCTACGTATAGGTTAAAAAAGCTACCTTAGACAGCTCTGAACAGCATAGCTATGTTTTCTAAGCATATACATGAATGGAAATTGGTAATAAACATCATAGAAAAAACTTTTGTATAGCTCAACATAAACCTGTGTTAAATCATCAATGACATGACTATATGAGTCTCCCATTTATTTATCAATGATTCTGCTACAGTTTTAAGATCTAAAACAACTGTGAACACAAATTAGAAAAACTCAGACTTCGTCTCACAGGACTCTGACACGGCAGTCATTAGTTGGAGTTGATTTTTGCATGTCTTTTAACTCTGGAAGTGTCATGTGCCAATGACACAAGCTTGTGATGTAGGTTCCGCAAGAGCCACATACAGGTAGCTTCTCTAGAGATAAAGTACTGACAGGCTTCTCCCATTAAACAGCAGTTATCAAATTGTGTTTGTGTGTTTTATCAGTAGTCTTGTTATAAAATTAACAGATTTTATGTTTAACTTTATTTTGCAGGGAATTACCCGTTGTAATGCTAAAGTTTATGTACTTAAAATTGTCCCACCAGATGATGATGCATGATTTATTTATTTATTTTTTATTATTTATTTGGGTACATCGGTTATGTTACTGTCTGTAGAAAACAAGTGCAGTACAATTTTGCCACATAGTGCGTGTTTACATTTGCATATGTGTGTCATTGAGTCAGTGGAGATATAGTAGTTTCAACCTAGGTAATTACACTGGAGACGGCTGCAGCATGGCTCTGCCCTCTAGTCAAGCACGTTCCGACTTCTGCAGTATATTCCCAGAGGAACCACAGACATACACATTTTACTCTCCTCTCTGGCTTTCTCTCTCTCGCTCCCTCTGTCACACACACATGCACAATGGAAGTCAGGCTGACATTAAGGGCATAGGAGGCAGTTAAGGACAGAACCTATAAAGGCCAGAAGGGAAGCTCAAGCTTCTACCCAGCTGTCCTATTTCTTGTGGGTTTTCACTTTGTCAGCTCTCAGATACTGAGATGATGTAAGTTTGGGGTAACATTGGAAGGACATAGCACTGCATCTACTAGGACTCATGGGGATTGAAATTCCCAGACCTCTCATTGAAATCCTCCTCTGTTTTTGTCTTTTTTCCTCCTTCATGCCCATCTCCGTCTTTCTTTTTTTTCACCCGCTGTTCTTTTGCCTCTAGTATCTGTACGAGGGGATGAAAATCAGTGAGCTGCCTGTGGATTTCTCAGTGGTGTGGAACGGCAACTTCATTATTGATAACCCCGAGAATATTCAAGGTAAGAACGGAAGATGATGCTGTCAACATGTGCTAGCAAACAGGATGAAGATGGGCAGATATACCACTCACCATCATTTTTGTGAGCTCTGACTGTGTTCAAATGTATCTGGCAGTATATGTGTATTTATTGATTTCATATGTAAATCACACATGTACAGTATGTTAAGAAACTTGCTACATTAAATAGATATGTCACTAACAGTAGACCTGCTGTCAGTTTTCCTTAAGAAAACAAAATCTACGCTCAGTTGCTTTGTGTTGACTGTACTGCTTCCTCTATCCAACAGTGCACTTGTACAAGTGTGCAGCCCAGCGGGACAGCTGCGGCATGTGTCTGAAGGCAGAGCGGAAGTTCCAGTGTGGCTGGTGCAGTGGAGAGGGAAGATGTACGCTGCGGCACCACTGCCCCCCTATCAACCCTTACACCACCCGCTGGCTCAACCTGTCCAGCAAGAATGTGAAGTGCACCAACCCACGCATCACTGAGGTCAGTACCCATAATCCCCTCTCAGCCCTTCCTGCCTGCCCACACAGATCAATACGCAATAATCAGCCACCGCTGCAAGATGTGTTTTGCATCTTGTCACAGTTCTTCGTAGAAGATTGCGAGCCGCTCAGCTCATACTGCTGGACTACATTTAAAATTCTAGTTAACAGCTCTAACAGCTTGTAACAGCTTGATGAGACATTGCCATTGGTGACAGTGGCAATTCTGTTACATAGTTAAAGCCCTGCTTTGTATTCTCCAAAGCACATCATGACCACTAAAGCGCAGTACGCCCAGACTACACTTGATTCTGGCATGCTTGCTTTTTTTGAAACATTTATGCAAAAGTTGAGCTGATAATAGCAGAGTTCTTAAGAGACGGGGAGCACTCTTGACAGTAAAATGTCTGATTTGAGAGGCATTGCATGAAAAGTAGCTTTTTCTGTTCTACTCAGTTTTTTTTCTGGACCCAGGAAATATGAGATTAAACCTTCCACGAGCTCCCCGGGGTGCTTGCCCCACCTAATGCTTGCTTTCAACGTTTGGTGTCTTTCTCACAGCCTTTTATCTTGTCTGTTCTTTTCTGTATCTTTTCTCTAATCAAGACAGAAGATGTTGACTTGCTTATTTTGTGTATGACTGCTTACATACCTATGTGACTGTATGTGTTACGCTCACGGGTGCTTGTTCATGCCAGAGTTCTTCCTCTCCTTAGGACTTTTCCAAGGGCACACGCACACATGCGCACACAGGGGCAGAGGTATTCAATTTTAAAGGGGCTGTCTTTTTGACATCTGCCTTCTCTTTGTGCAGTTTGCACAGATGCCTGCTCATAGATTTTAATGTCTTTTGTCTTCATACAAGGTTATTCCATCCCTTTGAAAGTAACTTTGGCACCAACAAATGTTAAAAAAGGAACTTCACAAGCAAACTTTGAAATAACTCACAGTTCCTATTGTAGCAAGCCAGCAGTAGGTTGTCTTTCATATCTTGCTATTCATACAGATAACAAGCAAGCGTATGTGTGGTGCCTCTTTTGTTATTTCCTCTCACTCTCTTAGCCTTCCCAGTATTGCAAAAAACCCTACCCAATAGCTCGATGTCCTCCGCATCAGCAGCACAAGGGTCGTGACCTGGAAGTGCTTATTTGTTTTCCGTAAGTAGGCCTTTGCTTGCTCAGGCTGCATTCTCCTCCCGCCTGGTGGGTTTGCTGTCATACAGGAGTCAGCCCAGGAGGGACATATTATTTAATTAGGCTTGGTAACACACCAGTGCATTGTGGTTAACCCAGCAGACCTCTCTGCCTCCACATTGATTCATTTGACTTCTCATTCCTCCACCACATACTCACATCGTACTCTAGCCAATTAAAAACTGAAGTTAACAGCTTGGTTAATTGATTCGCTATACTACACCCAGATAATCCAGGAAAAGAGACAAGCAAAAAAAAAGAAGTCAATCCCTGTTTGTTTTTTAATTCAGTTCCTCCATTCTTTCTCTCCCTCTATCTATTTCTGTCTTTTTTTCTGTCCTCTACCCCCCACTCCCTTTTCCTTCCTGTGTATCACTACCTCTGACTCATCCTGGTGAATTAAGTCCATTATGCTTTCAGTTTGTCATTCTATGGCACATGCTCATGGCCACCCACTGGGACATACCTCATTCAGCTCTCTGTTTTCATTAGTGTTATGATGATGGTATGTGATTTCAACAGCCTGTACCTTCGTCTGCTGCTCTGTGAGAGCTGCCTGACAAAAAGACTGACAGATATTCAGGAAAATCCTTAGATGTTAACATTGCAAATAGAGTATTTGAGTTGGTGTTTTCCTTGTTTGGGAAATGCTAGCTGTGAAAAACTCCCCAAGTTAGCAAAATGTTCATGGTTTACCTAAAAAGCAGGGGCCTTGGCTGACATACTGAAAGGTAAAGCAGAAGCATTACATTAAGAAAACTAGATTTAAACTTGCTTGTAAACTGCTGATTTGTTGTATCCATCTTTCCTCCAGTGGTATATTGATCATCACTCTAGCCTGTTAGAGCAGACAAGAAATTACCTTAAGATATTTCCAGAAACGGTTCACAATACCAGCAGACATTTTCTTAAAGCTGTATCTCAAATATTTGCACTGACCATCAGGTTAACATGTCAGTTTGTGGGAATCATAATAAGGGCTTAGAGATGCACTTATTGTCAACATCCATCCATCCATTATCTATACACCGCTTAATCCTCATGAGGGTCGCGGGGGGCTGGAGTCTATCCCAGCCGACTTAGGGTGAAGGCAGGGGACACCCTGGACAGGTCGCCAGTCTATCACAGAGCTACACTTAGAGACAGACAACCAAGCACACTCACATTCACACCTACGGACAATTTAGAATCACCAATTAACCTCAACATGTTTTTGGACTGTGTGGGAGGAAGCCGGAGAACGCGGAGAGAACCCACGCTGCACGGGGAGAACATACAAACTCCACGCAGAAAGATTCTGGTGCCCCCACCTGGGGGGGGGCAACCTTCTTGCTGCGAGGCAACAGTGCTACCAACTGCGCCACCTTGCAGCCCTCATTGTCAACAATCATTCAGAAATCCATTATACATCAAGGGCAAAGAGATAGTAATTTATCCACAAGATGCTGTATTCTGACCTTTAGATGTTGGCTTCATAAGAAGTGTTGCAGTGACAATGTTAAAAGGTATTTTGAAAAATTCTGAACATTACACATTGGTTTTGAAGCAGACGTTGCAGTTTTTTAAAAAAATTTTTTAAAAAAAGACCCAACAAATGGAATTATTTTGAAGTGTTTCAATCAACAGTGACTAATTATTAAACCTTTATTTAACCAGGAAGTCTCATTGAGATTCATAATCTCTTTTACAAGAGAGACCTGGCCAAGGTAGCAGCCAATCACAATGCTTCAAACAGCCAAGATGCAACAGTAGATAAAATAACAAGAACAACTATTTAAACATAGTGGACCTCTCAAGAAAAATAATAATATGTCTCCGTCACCACATTCTTTATGATGCCCTTAAATTATACTAATTGATATCATTGTTTGTAATGTAAGATCTTTCTGCAGATTATTCCAAGTCCATGGGCATGGTAGGAAAATGCAATTTTCCCCAAATCGGTTAAAACCCGGGGTATGTTGAAAGTAACCACTTGGAGGAGTGTAGCTGGTAACTAACAGAGCTGACACAGAGAAGGTTACAAAGGTAGGCTGGAAGTTTGCCCAAAATAGTTTTATAAATGAAAGTGTACCAGTGCTGTTGCCTGTGAATAGTCAACAATGTCCAACCTACCCGATCATAAAGAATGCAGCGGTGAATGAGGGACTCTGCATTTGTAATGAGTGACATAATGACATATTACAGAGTCTGTTGAAGGGTCTTTTAAGTTCAGGAGATGGGTAACATTGAAATTGTGAATGTATGGAGGGTTTGAATAAGGTGAAGTGTGGAAGAACAAAAGATAAAGCAGGGAGACTGAACCATGAAGGGGTTGGAAGAACAAAAAGGGGGAAGAGGGGTCACCTGTGGGCTATCTGCACTCAGATCTGTTTACGGCTGGAGGTGGCAAAACCAATTCTGCGTGAGCATGTACTTCAAATACACACTGACACACCTATTCTCCTCTTTGTTGGCAGCGGCGTCGGCGTGCGTTTGTGCTTCGCCCTACCCCCCTCGTCTCTCAGTGATTACAGTTTCTTTAAGAAGCAGACATCCCCCTGGTGGGCTGAATTTATTAATAAATTTGGTTTTGATTGTATGCACCAAAGCCCCCATCATGAGCTGATTTGTATACATACTAGCACATTAGTAGATGTGCCTACCACAAGATAGGCCTTTTGAATAATTAATGCTTCTATTAAGTGCCATGGTGCCTCCCACCATGGGCCATTAATATTGAAGAGATGTAAGCCCCTGCTAACAGCAGAGGGAACAACATCAAATGAAGCTGGGAGTTGGATGGGCATATGAAAGGCGTCTCCTCAATAGGCTTTGGCCGTGGCTTCTGTGTGAGTTTACAGTATAGCACAGAGGATCCCTTGCCTCCCAGTGACAGTGAGTATAAACAGCATTCTGCAGCTTTAGGGAAGAAGAAAAAAAAATGTAGGATTCCTTTCTTTCTTTCTTTCTTTCTTTCTTTCTTTCTTTCTTTCTTTCTTTCTTTCTTTCTTTCTTTCTTTCTTTCTTTCGCTCACAGGGTGTATGCAAGCTTGTTGATTGTTGATACTTTGAACACCACAGGGATAATGGGTCTGTCAGTCAGTATCAGACTACAACTGAACTCTCCTCACTGCTGAGAGTGCTTCTGTACTGTATGGGTGCTACCCTTCATTAAACCCGCCTAGCTGAAGAGCAAAATATTGCACAGTGAAATGAGTCTTCGGCCCACACATCCACACGCAAACCCTGCAAAAGGTTCAAATTCCCTGTTGGAGCACGCAGTATCAGTCCGCTCACGGATAAAACCTCATTTACAAATACACCTCTTATCTGATCCTTTTGTCTCTTGTTTGTTCCTCTTTACGCACTAAAAAGCTCCCTTTCATCACAGGCCATATCTCGTGGCTGACTACAAGACATTTAAGGCCCCATAAAGTATTTAGGATGTAGTTTGTTCGGGTACAAGTGATCAGTGGGGTTTTATCAAGCCCATTAAATGCTACTCACAATTAAATGTGACAGTCTCGAATTAGTCTGAGCACAGTCCAAAGACAAAGAGATTAGCTGCAAGCTTCTAAATTGTATCAAGGGTTATTTCATGTCAAAAGCGAAATATACGGCAAGAATGGGAATACATCCACTGTTATGTGGCATGTGAGAATCTCCCTAGAGCTCCAAGGAGATAAAATCCCGTTGCAATAAATCTGTAGACAATGTTAAAGACTGATGGTGAAGTATATTCTGTAGAATTGCTGATATTGTGTGTTTTAATGGTAGATGGGGTGATTAAATATCATTATTGCTGAATTGTCTAGGAGAGTTCCTTTGGGCTTGGTCAGCTGCTGTAGTTACAGTGACATGCTAGGCTTGCATAGCCTGAAGGCAGCTGGGTCGGTGCATTGCTCTCTGCCGTATTGAGTTTAGCCTTGGCTGCATCAGCACATCTTTCCCCACCATTACTTCAGCTGAATATGTCAACACCACTCTGTCGGACAATTCCAGGTTGTTTACACTGAAGGCCATTCTCTCCATCGCTGTAGTTTGTGTTTTGCTCAAAATAAAAGATCCTCCTCGTTAACAGAAAACATTTTTTTTCCTGGAAGTTACTTTCTTGTGAATTAGAACGCGTTGTCGATTTAGGTCTCCCCACCCCTCTGGACTGTTTCCACTATATGATTCTTATACTGTATGGTTTTTGCCAAAACCTAGGCAATGTCTGTAGGAAATAGTGGTAAGTGGGCAATACTATGATCCCCTGAGCTGGAGAGAGATAGATTATGCTAGAGAGAGTACATGAGTGGGAACAGGGAGAGCGGCGTGCAAGTTGACTGGCTGTTTGCTGGGAATTACCCTCTATTGACAGTGTGACAATGCCAGGCGGGCAGCAGTGCTGCTGCTAAAAGGATTACACAGGGAGCATGGCATGGCAGCACTGGGGGGGAGCAGGGGGGAGGAAGGACAGCAGGGTGTGCGTGCATGACCAATGAGGCTTCCTCTTCCCCCTTGAAAGACTGTATGGTAAGACAAACAAGAAAGCTGGTGCTTAGAGGAGGAAGATGTGTCACCTAGCCTGAGGGAGACGAGATGATGAAAGACATAAAGCAAAAGAAGTAAAAGAGATGCAAAGAAGATGACATTGCAGTTAGATGTAAAGACAAACTCTCCATTCCTAAAGATTATCTACAGTGTATGACTCTATATGACTACGATCGCTCTGTAAAGGTCATTAGAGTCGGGTTTATGGGCAATCAAAGCACAGTTTGTGCACAAAGAGGATCCATATTAGATTTTCGTCCTTTTGTATGTGTGTAAGAAATACAGACACAGAGACAAAGAGCAGCACTTCCCTCACGCCTCGCAGCCTGGAGACATTGGTGGCGTGCGTCTTTGAAGTGGCGATTTTTCTGTGATCCTGTTGAATCAAGGCTCTATCTGCCAATGGGGAGCTCAGTCAAATGGGTTTCATGCATGGATTAGACTGTCTTCCTGTGCTTGGTCCACCATTGGAAAGGCTCCATTTCAGCCCCCAAGGGTAGAAGGAGGAGGTCTCCCAAGCTTTTAGCATGCCCATCTGTGATACAGCACTGCTGTCCTGTCACCATCCCTGCCTCACCTGTCACCCATCTTGGCTGATGGGGCTGAACAGAGTGGCATCCACTTTCCCCCTGCTGCTCATTCCATTTTCTCTTACTCCTCTTCTTTCTGCCAGTCCCTCTCTCTTTTTCATGCTCTCTATTTTTCACTCTCTCTCCCTTCCTTTTCTCTCTCTTGTTCTCTCTCAGGTCCTTGCATTGCTTATGTAACCATCACTAAGTCTTCTCGAATAGCTGCTGCCATCGCCTGACATGGATATATTTAGCCATTATGTTTTCCCCCCCTCTATACCCTGCATGCCCAAGCAGTGCTAAAAGATTCATGTATTCAGACCCCTCAGGCGGTGCAGTGACACACTTACTTTACATCCAGAGCAATTAATGTCCACTGAATCTAGATTACAATGCCGGCATCCCACAGGGAAGCCGCAATGCCCTGGTGGGAGTCGAGGGTAGCGAGGGGAGGGTGTACGGCACCTCTTAAAGGGTCACGTGGCGCTTTACAGCTCAGTGAGCGGGTACAACTGACTGTTGGGGTTTTTTTTTCCCCCCCTTCTGCTTGCATGGCCAGTAATAGCATATTGATTGTTTACATAGCACTAGCAGCTCTACACAGCAAAGTGACAGTCATCTCCTCCCTACTGCCCTCCTCTTTCTTGGTCCACCCTATTTCCTCTTGCCTCCCTGTCCACCGAAAGGTACCGTCTACCCCCTTGATCTTTCTTTATCTTCCGGCTTCTTTTTCTCTCTCCTGTTTCTTCCTCCTTGTCTTCTCCTCTCTTGTTTAAAGGGCTGGATAATGGCCAGTTTGGAGCCTCAACAGGGCTCTGCAGCACAGAAGGCGCTGTGCCACCCTGTGCCAAGGTCATGCTGGGCAGCCATATTGCATTTTATGAGTAGGTGGTCTGCACTAAGTATTAATACAGCCCCTTGTTAGATTTACCATCCATGGCAACAGCAGCAGATTCTGAGCAGGCAGCAATCCAGAATGGTAATAGTCCCTCTTATTTTTTTATTGTGAAGTTCCTTTTATTAGATATACTGATCCAAAAGTAGACGAGAAAGGACGTTTAAATGTGTCGTCTTTGCGTGTTATTGCGTGCGCATGGATGTAATATCATATTTAGACAGAAAGCGCTACGAAGCATGTGCCGGCGGCCGGCATTGTGATTAGAACATGCTCTTGGCACAGTGACTCATGGCATGCTCTGACATTCTGCGGGTGCAGGAGTGGGGAGTGTTCTTAATTGCTTTTACAGCCACCTGGACCAAAAGAGCATATTTACCCTTGAGCATCTACAGAAACCTGTACTCATTTATAAGTTTCTATAAGAACGGGGCGCATCAACCTTCTCCTTGACTTTTTTTTAACCCCGCAGGTGACTCCGATGGCTGGACCCCCAGAAGGAGGCACTCGGGTGACCATCCATGGCACAAACCTCGGTCTGGCTTTCTCTGATATGGTGGGCAACGTGGAGGTGGCAGGGGTGAGGTGTACCCCGGTGGAGGACGGCTACATCATCGCCGAACAGTAAGTCACACAAACGAGATGAGCGTTGTTATTTAAACATTCTTAATATCGGTATTAACTTGCTGATTGAAAACTACCTAGAACATTGTTTTCAGTGTAGAATGAGCCAATTATTCCAATTAGTAAACAACTAATTCCCTAGCCAGCTGTCCTGATGGGAGTGTGGCGCGCAATATAATTAGGTGATTTACACAGAAATATATAAATTAAACAGTCATTTGTGAAATTCTGTTATAAAATGTTGTGCCATCCTTGTTATTGTCATAGTAAAAAAAAGATTTGCCGGACTTAGTGGACTAGTTTCTCGACAAGCTACCAGAATTAGCCAGTTAGCACCTATCAATCAGACTAGTGCTGTCAATATGACGTTTGCAATGAATGAACAGAAGATATTAATAAAACTCTGTTACTGTGGAAATGAATGACCACATTTTAGAATAATGACTTGAGTTTTCAATTATTTCTTTAGTTACTTTACAAATTAATGACCGATTTATTGACATGATGATTTATTTTATGTGTCTTTTTATTTATTTAGCATTACATTATATGGTGTTCAGTAATAAAAGGCTATCACATAATGAGCATGAACTAAATCAGTTGTTAACATTCATACAGCTGCACATCAAGCCTGGGGTTTTGATATTTACAGGGTGTAACACAGCTAAGAAACTCTAATCAGTGTATGTGTGTTGCGACAAAAAGCTGCTTTCCCCACCGTCCCCGCTTTAATGAAGACTGGAGCAGGTCCAGACAGCCTGGTCCTGACATTGCTGTTCTCCCCCTGCAGCACACTAGCCCAGTTCTCTCTCTGCAGCTCATCTAGTCAGCAACAATCCCACAACAGCTGTGTGTGTTTACTTGTGTTTACCTCCCTAATTGTCCCACGCTGTGTGTACATCACGTTAAAGCCTGTCCCACTCACCCTGAACTAATGAAACGTGGCCCATGCTGCACAACTCGCCCATCTCCCCCCCTCTGGCTAGACATGCAGATGTGTGTAGACTTAGAAACCCCGATGCCTTATGGCTGTTTAACCTCCTCAGGTGATGTGAGCCTCACCCAAGACAGACAAGGATGTACTGCGTTAATTTACCCCGACTATATATTAACGCGTTTGGATTGAGATGAGGTCGGATTGCCTTTGGGTATTGGGCTTTGCTTGGTGGAGGAAATGCAATTCTATACGAAAACTAATCCTATTAGGGTTTTTGAAGGATGCTTTGCAGAAAGCACAAAAATACTCATTATGCAGCTACAATAGGTTAAATAATTAAACCGTGGAAAATCAATACATTATGAGAAGAAGAAAAAAATATATTAAAAAATGTAGTACAACTTGGCCATTGCAAACTCATTACTGAGCACCACCGCCCTCACATCTCCCTAGAAATATTATAGCAATACTTTCAGGAGTTTTTTTTTTTTTTTTTAGTTAAGGCAAAAGCTCAGAAATAATTGGCCTTTCTTTCAGGTTGTGTAAAATTCTCTCTTCGCTGACTTTAAGTCTGTCAGAAAGCAGTGTAAAGTTTTAAATGTACACCAGTGCACTAAGTCAGAGATGACACACATGCACTGAATGAACACGAGCACACACACACAGGCTATCACAGTCATGGCTCTCAGAGGAGCCTTTAACCCTAATTCTTTCTTTGGCCTACTTCTGCCCTCAGAAAGAGAACAGCTAAGCATTGCACCATTACTGTAACACACATAGTTTCAGTCTGATGCTGCTGTTACTATCTATGTCACACGCATATGTTTGCCAAACTTACTGGTTATTTTGATCATATCAGGATGTGCTAAAAGAATAAAAAGATACAACATGAGCTCATGTATAGTGTGAATGCCATACAGTAAGTGTGTGGCTTCTAGCCCTGTACTGGGCAGTTGTAATTAAAATTCACTCTGTGCCACTTGGCTGTAGGGGACAATTTGTCAGCAGCACACTGATCTGACAGCACTTTAATCCAATTGGGGACAAGCTCGGGAATCCATTTATGTGCCATAAGAAAAAAAATCGACTGAGCAAAATTAAAAAACTAACCTACGACCTCTTTAGTCTAACTTTGAAGGAGCTGGAGTCTCCACGATGATGTTCAGAGTTGGAATTTTATTCGGCGCCCCGAGGTCACATTGGTCCATTGTATCCGTGTCCTTATCTGACTGTTGGTGTTTGTTTTGAGTTTTAATTCAGTCGCCGGGCTCCCTATGATGGACTGAACCGGACGAAAAAAAGAGGGGGGAAAAAATACATATTTATGTGTCTTTTATGTTAGTACTTCAGAAGAGTGTGTGAAAGCTACTTCCACTTTGAAGAAAAAAGTCTCAACTTTTGTGTTTTTCAGCAGGAAGCGCTTTTTTTTTTTCTTTCCGAGGGCTGATACTATTCTGCAGCATTTTTTCTTTGTCGCGGCCAAATTGAATCCTCATTAGTAAGAATTCAGCTTAAAAGTAACCCTCAGGTTTTACAGGAAGAGCAATTTTTTTTTTTTTTTTCTGTTTTATTTTTACAGAGATCTACTATCTAAGATCCAATTGAAGGTTTAGTTTTGAAAAGTAAAACATATTTCCATAAATCTGCAGCTTCACAGAGGACAGCAGGCCTTCAGGTGAAGTGAGCCTGTTTCTCTGAGGCCGACTAAGAGGATAATATCAGTTCTGTCATTGAGTAAATCCTCCTTTAGCTACCCTCTTCCTCATAGTTCATCCAGCAAACCTCCCAGAGTCATTTGTTGTAATTTTGATGATCAGCGCTAGAGAAACAATACATCTGCTCTGCTTCATCAACTCCACTCCTACCTGCCCCTGCCATCTGCCTCGCCACATATTCCGTCTCACTCTCCGCGCTGTGATTGCTTCTTGTATTTTATTGCTCCCTGGCACCGGCGATCAATAGGCGTTCTCATTTTATTATGTCATTTGATCTAGTCACCTGCAGTGCCGGGTGACACCTGATCACATGGTATGATAGAACTGTATTGATCGTGCAGCGTGATTTACATCAGACTTGCCGCATTGGCACAGCACCAGCGCTGTCGGGGGCCCGGGTTGTTGGTGGGAAATTTACTACGCTCAGGTTGGGTGTGTTGGAGTGCCAAGGGAGGAGGAGCATTAGACTCATTTAAAGACTGTCATCGAGGGGGTTCTGGTCGATGTCTGGATGTGTCCCGTAATGAAATGAGTGAAACAACAAAAGAAGATTGCAATTAGAGTGGAGGATAAATCAATATCAAGCTGAGAAGTGTTTTGATTACTTTTCCACAACTTCACTCAAGCATTCAAACGTGAAGATAACTTCTGAGTTTGAAGTTATGTTGAAGAAAGAAAGACTTCTCTCCTGTCCATGATGACATTTTTACAAACAGCTGCTTTTGAATCTTTTCAGACCTCATATTTTCTTTGTTGTCTTTTTTTAAATGAATTGATTATAACTGACTAATCCCTGTCTTTTGCAGGATTGTATGTGAGATGGATGCGGCTCTTGCAGACAGTAGACCTGGTCCGGTCCAGCTATGTGTTGGAGAGTGCAGACCAGAACTCAGAGCTCGCTCCTCACAGCTCTACTCCTTTGTGGTATGACTGCAGTTACACTACATTATTTGTTTTCTTTTTATTCTGAAATGAAATAACATTTTATAATATACGCTGTGGTCAATATAGGACAAACAAAAGACCTGCATACAAAAGGAATCATACATACAGTTGAATAAAAAGTGATTTGTTCTTGAAAATTAATTGTTTATGGGCCACAGGCAAATAATGATGTGCACGTTGCCATGCCTACCAATGGTGTAATTGGGCATCTCTGTACATGATAACTTGTTACTTTAGAGTAACAGGTTTCCATTAACAGCTCAAGAGATCCGCATTAATGATCTCTGCAGGTCTCCGATTATAAATGCTGTTCGTCTTTAATTATCGTAAGATCATGAAGTGAAGTTGGATTGTCACATATGCTGATTTTATGAGTTTTTTTGTTTTTGTTTTTTTTTTTCTGTTCTCTAGTGTTGCAAATCAATATGCTTTGGACAAATCCCGAGCTCAGCTATGTTATGTATGTTACACAGGATATGTCCAAAATCTTTTTGAAAAGCCTGTCTATTTTCATACAATTTCAAGCTTTTGAATCATTTATTGTAAAAAACCCAAGAGCAACAGCTCTTACACAAAGGGAAATAAATACAGTAGATTAAATGTGATTGGACAGTCGGGCAGGGTTATAAGAGAGGACACATTAGCTTTCACAAGTTAGGTTTCCAACAACTAAACTACATTCTTGGGGTTATTTTTCTCCCAGATTATTTTTCTTTGTGATGTATCACTAGTAGGCTTGTGGACAATGTATCTCCTCCATTTGCAGTATTGCTTTCCAGCTGTCACTCCTTTTCAGCTAACCAATCATAGATTAGACAGGGCAGGAGCTGTCAATATGGTAACCCAGAAAATGGAGAAGAAGCTTCAAACATTTTGTGAAATGATGTACCAAAAATAGTATATTTTGGTAAAGTTAACTAATGCCTGAACTTAACCAAACAACAAATATTGGTCCCACAGTCTCTCCATAAAAACTCACTGGCCACCACCACCCCTGACATGGACTTGGTGGCAAAAACTATGATTCTTTTAAAATGTAATTGAAAATGCAGTTTAGTTGAGTAGGAATGTCATTTTTAGGAAACCTGGTAATGAGACTGAGAGACAAAAAGGCAAATGAACAACTTGCTAAAATGGAGGTAAAAATAATCCACTCACCTCCGTCACACACTCATTTCCTTGTGACTCTCCCCTACTGTCTTCCAGCTAACAGATAATTTACTTTCTATTTGCGCTCTCTCACACCTTCACAATTAGCACTCCCTTAACAATTAACAGCAGTCACTAATTACTACTAGTGTTTTCAGAGTACCTGCTTTATCTGGCATGCTGGGAGTCACACGTAGTTGACGGTTTTGAGTTTTGTCAGCGTGATGCTCTTGGCTCTGTAGTGTATCCTCCGCTACTTTTTCTCACCAGTGATACAACTGCTACTCTGGGAAGCTGTGGAATTCCTCAGAGATTACTTCACAGAGCCTAAAATTGGCACCACTTGCAGTTCCCCCTGTATTGCAGGCCACCTAAAAAAAAAAGAATACAAAATCACAGGAGCGTTCTTCAGTTTTCCCGACAAAACCTGCTCCCTATGTGACCATGTTGGCAAAGGGGCAGTGTAAATGGCTACATATTTGTGCATTTAGTTGGTTTTAATTTTTATTTTATTTTTTTTAAATATTTGTGCCGATACAGGTATGTGCACTCTTCTGTGTGTATGTGTGCAATTGTGCATGTGTGCTTCTCCATATGACGGGCTGTCTACTTGGATATTTCTCCATCTGTCTGTGTGATGGCAGCCTAGCTGCCTGCCGCTGTAAACACTAGTTATTTTCAGAGTGTCTTTTAAAAGCTTCACTCAGACACAAACCAGCAATGCACAACACGCAGTAGTAGGATCTCTCAGGGGCTCTTAGAGATCCTCTTTTCTCCCACCAGCACTGTACTCCAATGCCATCGGCCTGGCAATACGAACAGCTGTAATTTGCTGGGAATCTGTGATAATGCGTAAAGTTTTCAGGCGTTACCCCAGACATGCTTCCCTGTTTCCTGTGGAAAATATAAATGTTTTAGCTTTAGTTGCCTTTTGGTCTCTTGACTTATCCTTTCTTCCTATTCCTTCCCCAGCTTTTTATATCACACTCACAGTCTGTCTCACCCCATCTCTCTGCATCTGTCTTTTTTTGTAGACTCCAATAGTCACAGGTCTGTCCCCGAGCAGAGGTCCAGAGTCCGGTGGCACTAAAGTAACCATAATGGGAGAAAACCTCGGAGCCGGCAGCAGTGTCAACGTTCAGTTTGGGAACCAGACATGCGAGTTCTTTGGGTGAGACATTCCTCTTGCATCAGTGTATAAAGTAGACATTCTATAATAGGCAAAAGCAATTTAATGTGCTAAAACACCCTGCAAGATCAGACTTCTGTTTAACACTGATTATTCACGGCGATTTTTAATTTATATATATATATATATATATATATATATATATATATATACACTTGCACATTGTGATGAGGTGGAAGTGTTCACATTCAGAGCAGTGCAAATGAAATGCAGAGTTTCACAGTTTCAACTTTATAATGTAAGATAGATATTAGGGAGTTAAACTACTCCACTAAGTACAAATGTTGACAGTTGTCACCTACAACAAGTAAAAAGTTGTTAAATCAAATGAAAGACTTGACAGTCCACGTCTTTGTTTTCTGTCATGTTTGCACTTTTTTTTAATATATATAAAATTCTTTTTGCATTTTCAATTCGCAGTATCTGCATTTACGCCTTTAATATATACTGATAGTATAACAATGGTTTGACTGAGAGTTTCTTTAATTCTTGGCCCTGCTGCATACATCACTGTCAGATGCTCTTAGATATATGACATGCTGTGAGCAAATGGAAAAAAAACAACAAAAAACTCCACAGACTTCTTGTTCTAGATATGATGTGCATTATTCCCATTAAATAAGCTGCTATATTTCATGGCTTTCTTGTATTTTTTTCCCTTGATATTACTGAGAAGTCCCCCAAGGGAAAACTTCTATTTCTCCCTCCATCAGAAACTTGTGTAAATCTTAATAAGGTTTTGATAACCTGCTGCATCAAACCTCGTAATAATGGCTTGAAGAAAAAGCTTTTCTTTTTCTTCATTCAGTCCCATCCCTCTGACTCTCCTTCCATCTCTCTGTTTATCTATTCTAGCCCCCCACCCCTAATTTTAATTCTCACACTCTCACGGCTTGCTTCTCCCTCCACCCATCCCTCCCTCGGTCTCTTAGTTGCTCCCACATGTCCTCTTTGTACTTTCCACTCCTAAAGGCACCTATTTTAAGCCCTGTCACAGTAGTCTGACTGTAATGTTGTAAGGTTGAGGAGTCAAGCCAGCTTTAATGAGATATGGGGCTAATTGCTGGTTTGTGCTTCTCCACTGTATTCCTGGCATGGGAGGAAGAGGAGGACAGCCGGCTGTTCTGCTACAAACTCTCCTCTGCTAATGAATTGGGACAAATACAGAGGGGTGTGCAGGTAGATCATGGAGTCTTGTAGAGGGAGGAGAAAGCAAACTGTGGAAGCGCATGCAACTGGTGGAGGTGCTGTTCATGTGTTAGGTTGTGTGCAGCAGGTGCACCTGTGTTTATACTGTGTTCTAAGTTGTATAATTGCAGAACAGTGCAATTGTAGAACAAATTGCACAATATATTCTGTTGCTGTAGGTGGTGTTTTTTGCTATGTTCCAGGAATATGATAAGCGAATAAGTCGTGCATCATCATTATTGTCATCTTGCATTTTAAACAGTATCTTTATTTTGATTTTTCAAAACACGCATCTGTTTTCTGCACTCGTGTAGCTTCTGATGCCTAATCTACTATGACGATCTTCTTCACTTGCAGACGGACCATGACGGAGATAGTGTGCTACTCTGCCCCTTCTGTGTCTGGGGTCGGCCCAGTTCAGATCAGCGTGAGCGTGGATCACGCCCAAATCAGGGAGAGCCTCAGCTTCGAGTACATAGAAGACCCCACTGTCCAGCGCATTGAACCTGACTGGAGCATCGCAAGGTAACTATCTCCACAGTCCGGACACTTTAAATTTAACCTCATCCTCATCAACCAACCTTGAGCTTCTGACATCCCAGACAAGCCTCATCCAGAGCTTAACAGACATGAGTCAATATTGCACTTTCAATTACTGTTCAGTTCTCTTTCAATTAGTCTGGATCTGATAGAACAGCCACAGCTCACAGATTGGGGATGATGGGCACTGTTGAGACTGGGATTCTCCTATCGAATGCAGCGCTGATCCATCTGTTGAGCTTCTTTGGCAGATACATACACGTACACTATACACTACTAATTAAAAGGAAGAGAGGGATGAAGATTAAATGGTGGCTTACCAAAACAACGTGCTATCAGAGGTGTGAGTCCACAACAGATGGCATGGGCTTAGAGAGGCAGTGCAGGGTACACTGCAGCAAAAACATGATGGAGCAAAGGGAATAGAGGGTAGAAATGAAGGGAGACACAGATAGGGAAGGACATCATATCATCTGTTTTTCTTTTTTTTTAATGTATTCTTTATTTATAGGAAGAGAGGATAAACGGAATATCCAAGTATTTCTCTTTTAAGTCACAGTGTGACAACCACACCTTCTATAGATAGATAGACTAGCTGAGGATATAATTTATTGAGCCTATAGATGGCACAAGGTCTGTTTATAGTACCTTACTATCCTTCCATAGTGATACAGTACATTGAATCTAGCCTGAGAGCTTAAACCTAAATCCTACAACAACTCCTGATTCTTTATTCAGCATGCCATATTGACAGCCTCAACAACACAAACAAATCTTCAACAACTGCAGCCAGCTGCAGGAAGAGATGGACACCCAGCAGTTTTCCTCCTGCTTTGTTTGTGTGTTTTGTTTGTGCTGTTGTGTCCCGAGGACCAGGACCATCACTGCATCATAAATAAGCTTGAGCTGTCTTAGTATTTCAAACACAAATCTACACCAGTTGATTGTAGCGAAATCACTTAAAATGCATCTCTAATCATCCTCCACTCCAGAGGCCATTACCTCCCAGAAGAAACTGAACACGCAATTTGATTTGACGCTTTTATTTTCAACTGATGGTGAACATTTTGAAGAGGTGCATCAGGGTTAGAAAGTTTCGCAGAGAATTGCCTTTGGACGACTTTGTTTTTTCTTTTCTCTTTTCTCTTTTCCCTCTCTTTCTCTGAAAAGAAATTAGGAAGGCATTTGACAAACATGATTATTCAAATTTGTAAAATAAATTCTGTCTGCTTGCTTGTCTTTTCCCCCCCAGCGGTCATACGCCTCTGATGGTGACAGGAACCAATCTGGATGTGGTTCAGGAGCCCAGGATCCGAGTGAAATACGCCGGCCGAGAGTCTGTCAATGTAAGAACCACTGTACTTGACTGTGAGCGCCAGAAATGCTGAGTTCAGTTACACATGAGTACATGCACATGTGGGATAATCTACACTAACTAGGTCCAGCCTGACACACTACAAGCAAGCTAAGTGATGTTCAGCTTGGGAAAAAAAAATAAAAATGCCGTCTCTTCACAGCCCCTCCAGCTCTCGATGCTTCTCTGAGTTGTGCTTGAACCCAGTCTGCTCGACCATCGAGTGCGTGAATAATACAGCTGGCAGAGAGTAGCTAATGAAGAGTTTACTCAAAATTTTCCTCACATTCCAACTCCCACCTACTTAGTCTGTGTTTTATTTACTCTCGCCTCCTGACTCCCGAACAACATTTTCATTTGTTTGAGGAAAGATTTGCAAACTATGTACACATATTTCTGCGGTGATGGAGCCAGATGGAAGACAGTCGAGCTTGAGGAGGACTGTAGGTGGGACAGAGGGGAGAATATTGGAGGTGTGCATGATCGGCGGGGCAAGGAGACTACTAATGGCTTTCAGCGGAAGATTAACTGCAGTCAGAAGTCTTTGGTCAGCATAAAGAGCCCTTGTATAATCAAAGTCTTGGCTGCAGGAAATCGTTACAAATTACATTTGAGCCCCTGTCCTGGGGGTCCTTGTTTAATTAAGAGGATGGGATTTCCTCTATGTGGTCTGGAGTAAGGTGTGGGGAGGGCAGACGAATGGGCTAAAGGGGAGTATGACGGATGAAGAGTGAGGAAGATGGGAAATTAGATCAGGCGCAAAAAGTGGTATGTGCCCAATTCTGTGTGTCCCGTTGGTATCTGTGCATCTTGTGTAAGACACTGTCTGCGCCTACACACTAATACAACATGATAAGAGAACCTGACTTCCAGTTGTGAACCACTGCTCTAATGCATGCATACTGCTCAATACACAACTCAGCCACTTGCTTCGTAGACATGTCTGTAGTAGCATAGAAAATTAAGAAACATTCTGAAAACAGTCTTACACCCTAGCATATAGCTACCTAAATCTCATACATCATTTATAGAATTTCAAAACATGTTGGTGTACATGCAGGCATGCATAATCCACAACATCCTCAAAGCGATGCCTCATGAGCAGAATTCTGCACAGAGTTGTCCCAACATGCCTCCTCTCGCTCTACATTTCCAACTTTCTATCCCTGGCACTGGTAGTCTAAAATTGGCCTTAGGTGTCTGTTTAGCTTAGGGAATGTTTTCTTAATAAAAATCATAACTCTGCCCTGGAGGAGTTTGTGCAACAGTGTTTCCCCATTTAAAAGCACAGTTTCCCTAAAAAAACAACCTTTATGAGTCACGAAAGCAGTAATTACAAGTAAAAGGCAGATCTGCTCTGTTTTCGGTTTAAAGAAGAGAACGAAATACCTGATGAGTGAGAAAGAGAGAGGGAGACCTGGCAAAATGGGATTTGACTCGTGTGTGGGTGCTGTGCTGTCTGATTTGTCAGCTTCTGAAGCTTTGAAAGAGAGTTGTTCATCTCCACCCTGCCTTGTCTCCAACTCCCCACCTAGCGCCTCGCAAAAGACGACTGTGTCACTGTCTTGATTGCCCCCACAGCCACACAGAATGAATTTCTATTAAATGCTAAGGTTACAATTACCCATCCTTCATCCCACCCTGCAGCCCCCTCTTCCCCTTTTCCTTTTTGTCACTGGAGGAAGGCAAACAGCAGAGCAGCCTATAGCAATAAGAGCTGCTGTCTGTCAGCCAGCCTTCAAATGATCACCTGTCTCCCACTAAATTGCTTCTCTTCTCTCCCTCCCTTGTGTCACTTGCACAGATTCACAAAGAAACCAGGAGAGAGAAAAAAAAAAAGACAATTTTCTTTGTGAAATGCTCTGTATCTGTCACCGGATTCACAATTGAAACATTTATCATGATCTTGATTAAAGCTAAAAGGGTTATTTTCCAGCTCCAGAACATTTCCCTGTCCCAGAAAGATTTCATCTACCGCATTTGCCACGCTTAAGATGCCTGGACTGAGTGTCAGGCTTGGCATGTCGGGTGTATTTACAGCTGCTGCTGATCATAGACGGTGTTGAGCATTACTTCTAGACCAATCAGGCTGTCCGATGGCTATGGGGAGGTGCCAATCAGCGCCATAAGAAATGATAATGGATGGTGAAAACTTACAATTTGCATGCCTGCAATGTTTTTTGTATTCTAAACTGTATCAATGCGCCATAAATCTCACCTCATCCGTTTTTAGTGTCATGAGTGGCTCATTGATTGATCATGGCATCTTGAGTGTCCACAGTCTGGAGGGCCAGCACTGTTTCTTCTGTAACATCTCTCTTTTTTTTAAACCACTTTAGTATTAATTTTAAAAGATGAAACGCCACTTGTCAGCACATGAAGCGGTGGTTACTGAGGATATTTTCAATTTGTCACACCCTTATCACAAGACATCTTTAAAAAATCTAGCTCTTTTTCCCTTTCAGAGAGGCACACATCTTAGAGAAGCATTAATCTACCAGCACTGGCTCTACAATAGCTCAAATACCACGCAGAGCTTGGATGGATGGATGGATGGATGGATAGATGGATGGATCAGAGCTGAAGTTAGACTTAATGCCAGTATTAGCATTTGGTTGGAACAGCAGGCGGGCAGAAAAATAGACACAGTGTAGGAGTAACCAAGTATAGGAACAGCAGAGCAGTCAGTGACTAGCTATCAAATGGTAGCCTCCAGATGACCTTTGACTCGGTGAACCCCTCACATTTTTCCTACGCACCTCTCCACAGCTAGCCCATCTTATCGGCTCGCTCTCTCCCTCAGTCTCTCTCACTGCTACCCTGGCCAGAGACCTTTGAATGATTGAGTGGGCTGTAGCCGCACAGTAGATCATGGTAATGTATTCAGCCAGAGGGGTTGGAGTGTTACTGCCTTAAAACACCCTGGCTCTATCCAACACTAGAGAAAGAAGACAGATGAGGCCAAGATTCCAATTATTTTCTCTTTCTGTTGACCTCAATTCACTTTATCAATGCTGTACAATGTGTAGCTTCTTTCACCACATGGCCTAAAGGAAAAGATGTACTGTTGCATACTCCGTATTTGACAATATACAAATTTATTTTTCAATTATGACGTGCTGGAGATAGAAAGTGAAAATACACAGGGTTCTTTGGAATCCATGCACGTACGTGTACATGAATGCGTGTTGTTGCATTCTGCAGAGAAGTAGATGGAGGGGTGGAAAATAATCTTGTAATTCAGGAGAGTATTTGGAAATCCAGTAATCCTCATAATCCTACTGTAGTGTAAACAGAATGCTCTATACAGTAATAAAACGTACTTAATATCCATCTGTTGAAACACAGAAGTCATGCAGAGGTGTTGTGCTGTTTTGAAGTACAGCCATTATTGCGCCACCCATAGAGGAACCCAAATATCCCACTTTGCTTTATCAAATCCTACAATGCCCCATTTACCCATCACTATTTACTCAGTCATCACTTTGGATTTACCCACGTTACACTCACTGCCGCACAGCCTGAAAAACATCCCGCATGATAGCAGCAGTTTTCTGTCCTGACAGGATTCAGCAAAAGACAGGATTTATTTAAGAAAGAGAGACAGGCAAAGAGGAGAGAAAGTGAGGACAGTGCAAAAAAAAAAATAAATAAAGAAAAAAAAAACCCTACAGTATCCATCTCCGGCAGAGCAGATGGTAGTCAGAGCTTTACTTGACTTGCAAATGTCTTGCTGTTCCAACGTGACAGTCCCTTGGATGCTGCCGGAGCATCTGGGCCTGTCTATATAACATGTCACCATGCCAACCGTAAGAAAGCAGCCCATATCAAACTTGACTTGAACTCTTTTATCCATTGAACCTTTAATACTCATATACTGATCATTAGTCCTGTTTGAGTGTCCTGTGCCATGCAGAGCTCCGACCATATGGGCTTAGATGCTAGACAGCAACAACAGCCAGAATGGACACACGGAAATCACTATACAGTTCCACAAATCATTCGATGTGAATGGAAAAAATGTTTAAAGATTTGTTCCATGATGATGGATTTACAGAAACAATATAGAAACAAAAAAATATTACATTCCTATATAATAATTTTCAATCTTTCTACAAAGTAGTGAGTTATTGTTATACTTTGAACAGCACAGTTACCACACATTATTCTACCACCTAGCTCATTATACAGTATTCAGCCCCCTTAGAAGTGTTCCCCTTTTTTTTCTTTTCAACATTAGTGTTGTATAATTTGGCCTTTTCAAAAAGAATTTATAAAACAACTATATTATGTTAAAGTGAAAACAGATTTCTATGTGTATTGCCAATTGAATAAAAATATACAATCTAAAACAAGTGCTTGTATAAGTATTCACTCCCTTCAAGTGAGTATTCAGTAGAGGCGCATTTGTTTGCAGTTATAGCATTGGGCCAGAACTGATAGTTCTCCATCAGCCTTGCACATCCGGACACTGCAATTTTACCCCAATCTTCCTTGCAAACTGTCAGGTTACACAGAGATTGTGAGTGAACAGCCCTTTTCAAGTCCAGCCACAAACCATCAATTGAATTGAGGTCTGGGCTGTGACTTGGTCACTGTGGAACATTCACCTTGTTGTCTCTAAACTATTTCTGTGTAGCTTTGGCTGCATACTCCGGGTCGTTGTCTTGCTGAAAAAAAACAAATCTTCTCTCAAGTCACAGTTATATAGCATGCTGAATCAGGTTGTGTGTCTGGGTTTTCCCTGTACTTCGCTGCATTTATTTTTCCTTCCAGGGTCTGCTACAGAGAAGCATCCCCACGTCATGATGCTGCCACCACTGTGCATCACAGTGGGGATGGTGTGTTTGTAATGATGTGCACTGTTTGGTATTTGCCAAACTTACTGTCTGGTCTAATGGCCAAAAAGCTCAGTTTTGGTCTCATCAGACCAAAGAAGCATCTTCCCGTTGACTTCAGTGTCTCCCAAATGCCTTCTGTTGAACTCTGGTGTAGATTTATGATGAGCTTTTTTCAGCAGTGGCTTTCTTTTTTATCACACTTCAATTAAGCTTTAACTAGAGAAGAACATGCAGCGGTTGTTGTATGGACAGTTCTCTGCTGAAGCTTGTGACTCTTTCAGAGGAATCATGGCTGTATAGCACCTAATGGCTGCACTTGTGTTGAATTAGACTATTTTAAGGGAGTAAACACTCTGCTATTTATTTTACATTTTATACTTTTAATTAACTGACATTACTCAATTAACAAAAAAAATAATTATGTTGACTATGATCCCATGTTGAGAAGCAATAAAAGGACAAAACGTTAAGGATGGATGGGTTACTTTTTAAATGCACTGTAAGTATATACAGCTTTTTGTGGGTCTAGAACAATGTCGTTTGTTTTATTGGTTACCTCTGGTTGACTGTGAAGTGGCTTCCATGCACGGTACGGCTTCTGTAAAAAAAAATGTAATTAACTCTCATCTCTTCATATAACTTTTCAGTTGTTAATGTGATTTCAAAGAACCTAAACTTGGTGAAAGTATGTCAGGAGTCTTATCTGGTTGTTCTATCTATTTTTTTTTTTTTTTTAGAAGAGCTTATCTTCTCGCTCTCGTCATGCGCTGTTACTGTAGTTTGTAAAGTTGAAACTCTAAGGAAAAATTTCAAGACCAAGAAAAGCTGATTCTGAGCATTCAGATGTTATAGTATAGTTAGCTCCAGACTGGTGGAGCTGTAATGCTGTACATGTCGATGGGACAGATGCAATCTTTCTTTCAACAATAAGCACTGATTTTGCAAAAAAGCAGCTGACACATAATATGAAAGTGTTTAGTGATTTAATCATTTAGTCGAGTAATGTAGCATTAATTGTCAATCATTAAGTCATTTCTCAGGCAAAACAACAATACATTCTTTTGTTTCAGCTTCTCAAATTGTGAGGGTTTGCTGCTTCTCTCTGTTCTAAATCACTGTAATCTGAATATCATTGGTTCAAGCTGTCAACAAAACAAGGCATTAAAAAAATGCCCCTTTTGGCCTTGGTAAGGTATCAGGCCTTCATAGCAGTTTTTTTCACTTATATAGTCCAAATGATTCATCAAGATGACAACAACCACAAGTTCTTGAATCAGAACTTATTTTAAGATTACGATTCAATGCCCTACATGGTGGAAACACACAAACAGTCTATAGTCTATATCCAAGAGCAAACTAAGTAAAGATGCCAGTCCCTCCGTCCACCTCCACAATCATGCTCCTACAACTCGCCTTGCACCATGCTGGCAAAATCCAATTGGCGTACCCTACACAGAATGAGTTTGCATCGATCTCCCTGGCTTTCTCCGGAGCAGCAGACAACAGGTAGGAGGCGTGGTAGTTGCTAGCGTTCACCACCTTTGATGATATTTACCTCTAATTAAGTTTCTTCCCCTGAGAGAGAGCTGGGAGGGAGTGAAAGGAGATAAAAACCTCTCTGAGCAGAGTGCTGTGCAGCAATCAATCCTCTCTCCCCTTTCCTCCAGAGCTGAGCCAGGCAGGATGGATGGAAGACAGGTCTCTCATCAGGGCAAACTGGAGAGAAGTAATAAAAGAGCCATAGCTCAACCTCTACTGGAGGAGACAGAGGAGCAATGCCTCCATCCTTTGTGGTTGTTGTCCTCCAGTGTTTTTCAGTGAGGCAGTCACAGCAATTTATTTTCAATTTTATAGAGGCCTCCTCTACAATAAAGATGGATTTAATGACAGAAAATAAATCCTTTTCTCCGAAAAGAATTGGGATTTTATGTGTCAATTATTAGGCTGGTGAGCCCGCTGCAGGGTTCATGTTGATACCAATGTGTTTCACTTAAGATCACGGTTTAGGTTATAACAAACAGAATAGTTTACACAGAATCTGCTTGAAACTTGGTGTCTTATTTTGGAGCCAGAGAAAAAGAAAAATCTTAGCTGAGTGGAGCTGTCCAAGTTCATCCTGGATGACTGAATCGCATTTCTTGTTTCATTTCAGGATGCTCAGACTATCATAGCATGATATGTAGACTGTTTCGGTGCAACACATCCCCCGGTGCATCACAAAACGTGGATTTTCACCCTAACTTTTTTTTTTTTTTTTTCTCCTGTGCCTGTTCCTTCTCCCTAGGTGTGTAAAGTATTGAACACCACCAGTATGAGCTGCTTTGCTCCCTCCCTGATAGCAGAGTACCTTCCAGGTTTGGACTCGGTAAAGCATGCTGACGAGTTTGGGTTCATCTTCAACAACGTCCAGGCTCTGCTGGTCTACAACAACACCAACCTACTCTACTACCCAAACCCTTACTTTGAACCCCTCAGCACCACTGGTGTCCTGGAGCAAAAACCAGGCTCACCTATCATTCTCAAGGTACAAAAAAAATTAGATTAGTAATCAACTAAAACTTCAGAACATGATCCCACCACTTGCCATTGAAGGGTAGTGATCATCTCGCCCTGTAAATGAAGTATGGAGGGCTTTTTGTGGGGCTAGACAACTACCTCCCGGCTAATTTGTGAGATGTTTTTCTATCATAAGGATTCTTGTAAATGGAAGACATAGAATTCAGTGAAGGATATATTTTATTCTTTTCTCTTGATTACCAGCTGTTCCCACTTACCACCACTGTGAAATATATCACCTTCCCCATGTCAGTATACAATCATATTTGGTAGCAGCTGTGCCCAAACCTGGGAATGTAATTTACAGTATATTTAGGTGACATATTGGCTTACACTGCATTTTTAAAAAGTGTCTGTTTTTCTTTGAACTGTGTGTTTGACTGTCTGAATTTATCTCCTAATTTCACACCCTTCTGTCCATCGCCTCTTGCCCACAGGGCAGAAACCTGGTTCCCCCGGCATCAGGAGGGGTGAAGCTTAACTACACGGTGCTGATAGGAGAGACTCCCTGCTCTGTCACTGTGTCTGAGAGCCAGCTGCTGTGTGAGCCACCCAACCTCACTGGACAATACAAAGTCATGGTCAGTACCCATCTGCTTCCGTCTGAGCATTTGTTATTGTTCCTAACTGTCTTTCTCACTTACTTCCTCATCCATCCCTGGATTTGTGATTTCTTCTTCATAATAGTTGGCCTCTAAACTCTATTATCTGTGCTCTGATCATTGTTCATTCAGCTGAAGGAAAGGGGTCAAAGGGAGAGCAGCATGAGTGTGCTCTAGCTGTCAAAAGGTTCTGCCAGAATTCACTGCAATTATTTTTAGTTGCCCGCTCGCTTATTGAGTGCAAGACCCAGACTATTTCCCTCTCAACATCAGCACATAGGTGGCCATGTGTTTACACTCAGTATCAATTTCAGCAGACTGAATTTACTTAGGCTTCAGCAGGATCTTGGGTGAGGCTTTGCTGTTTATTGATTATCATGTGAACAGATCTCAAAACCAACAAACAGATATTGTGGAAACATGATGGAATTGAGGGTTCAGTGTTTCACATTTGAGGATTCCTAAGATACACTGAGCTGTCAGGAGAAGTTGAGTAGATAACAGAAGATTTCTTTTGATTTTACGTGTTGTCTGTACGCATCTCTTGGCAGGTTCAAGTTGGCGGCCTTCACGTCTCTCCCGGTGTGGTTCACATCATGTCTGACAGCCTGCTGACCCTCCCAGCCATTGTTAGCATCGCAGCAGGTGGAGGTCTCCTCCTCATCATCGTCATCCTTGTCCTCATCGCCTACAAGCGGAAGTCTCGGGAGAATGACCTTACCCTGAAGCGCTTGCAGATGCAAATGGACAACCTGGAGTCGCGAGTTGCCCTGGAGTGCAAAGAAGGTTCGTATCAGAATAGTGGAGCCTACTGCTAAACTGCAGATCGTCGAGCGAGGGGTGATTACGGGTCCACTTTGCTTCGAATATCCATTTACAGCCAGTAATTTTAGAAGCTGCTCTAGCCCTCGTGTAGCTGGATTGGGCTGGTGAATGCATCTCACTTGAGCAGACTGTAATCACGTAACAAGCATGAATGTGTATTTGTGCATGTAGTACAGTAAGTAAATTACTGGTGGTCTGTGTGCATTAAATAATGCAGTGAAAAATTATTCCGATCTGGGTCAGTGAGTCATCCTTACTCAACTGACCTGAATCAACAGATTCATTCCATTAGCCCTGCATGTGACCCTTCTCATCATGCAGTTTCATTTTCAGATTTGCAGTTTGCATGTTGGAGACAGAAATGTATGCACAAATACAGAGTTTTCATTAGAGTTCTTCAGACCTCATCTCAGCAAGTCAGACATTGCACAAGAGGCGTGTTACATTCTATTCACATCTCAAATATGCTAGATTTATTTTCATACAAGGTGTGTGTACTCTAATTATGTGTTTCCATGCAAGTGTGCACTGGAACAATAACCACCCTTCAGTGTTTTCCAAGTTGTTAGTGTCGCTGTTATCTGACACACAGATGCTAGGAAACACACTCCCTCCTCTCTTGTGTGTCAGGGTTAACAGAGGGCACAGTAGTTAATCTGACCTTCGACATTCCACCCAGTCGATGGGGACAATATTTAACCCTCACGCTAACCTCCAGCTACCACTTTAAACATCAGCTCGGTGTTGTTCAGTTCCATGTCCGTGCTTTCAACTAAACACTGCTGATTGGCCCCTCATGTCATCATCGGGGTCATTATAGCCAATCACTGAGACAGCAAAAGTGAGTTTGTGTTTGACAGTGTTCAGGAGATTTCATCAGCCAGGAAGGACCTTATTACTTATCCCCTCCAGCTACTCCTGATCGCCTCTCCCGGTGTTTTTATGCCGTAAAAAAAAAAAAAAAACAGCATCCTACTGCAGCAAACAATGGTCAAATTACAGACAGACAGGCAGATAGACAGAACAGGCAAACAGGGGGAGTCACGCAGGCAGCCTTGGGAAAGGAGAAGATTAATGTTTTAACCATTAGCAGTGGCTAGGAGAGTGCTGCCCTGCGGGTTGGATTTAGGAAGGTACCTGGGTTCCTCCTTATGAGTATATACACTGTGAGCCCATGTGCTGGTGTGTAAACCCGCGAGTCGCAGGGGGCTGTGGGGGCCAGGAGGCGAGGGCTGAGACTGGTTGGACATGGCGTGGTTTTGCGGACGGTGTTAGGGGACTGCTGCTGCTCCTGTGATAGGCTGCAGACAGGGAGCCTCCCCAAGGGCGCAAAAGCAGAGCAACGGAGCCGTGGGCCTGAACGAGAGTCAGTCAGGATGGAGCCAATTAACTAGTGCTCACCTGCAGCCTCACACTGAGATGACACACTCTTTTGGGCCTTTGCTACAGCCAATTTACTGGCTGGTAGATAAAAATGAGTGAGAAAAGGGGGTGTATATGTGTGTGTGTGTGTGTGTGTGTGTGTGTGTGTGTGTGTGTGTGTGTCTGAGAGAGAGAGAGAGAGAGTTCTGTATTTTTTAAGAGAGAGATGTGAAATATTGAGTTCCTCTGACATGAGGGCTATCTTGAGCCGTCTGTCATCTTCATCATAACGGCAGTAAACACCATGAAGATAAGAGGAAGTCACTTATTTGGTCCTTGGGGATTAAGGATTTTTTTTTCATGACGCATTTTTCAAGTAAACCCTCCAACTGGTTTCTCCGTCCTGTCTCCCCTTTTTTTCTCACAGCCTTTGCCGAATTGCAGACTGACATCAATGAACTGACCAGTGACCTCGACAGAGCTGGAATCCCCCATCTGGACTACAGGACGTACGCCATGAGGGTCCTCTTCCCTGGAATAGAGGATCATCCCGTCCTCAGAGAACTGGAGGTAACATGAGACAGACTGCAAGAAGAAAGAGAATATATAAAGAAGATGCATTAGGAGAGGCCAAGGGGAAGTCAAACTGAGGTTAGGAAAAACAGAGAGGGAGCTGTCCATACCGTCTCCACCCTGTAGGGTAAACTCCACACACGAGGAATTGCTCGAGGGGGAAACGATACCAGTGTGCCACTTATCCTTACTACACTCTGGTCTGACACACATGCATAGTCAATCATGCTGCGCCGCATACACACATATATAAACACCTCACATGCAAGCTCCCTCATGGAAAACAGGGTCCCAGCACATGGCTATTTCATCCACCAGTGGCTGCAGTATGAGGGGTAATGAAGTGAGTAATTCCAAATCCTCAGGCAGGTCTGTGGGTTCCTCCATTGGGGGGGGGGGGGACTGGCTGGTTAACACTTTTTGCTCCTCTTCACGGGGCCAGAGAAGTGCTGGGAAATGAGTTTATTTTATGTGGAATGCAGAGAGGGCTGTCCAGAGGATGAAACTATCAGGGATTACAATTGTGATAGAGGTCCACCTTTTTATCTGTGCATTGTGTGTGACAGTGTGAGGCAGGTTTACTAGGTCTGGTTAATTAGAGGGGTGCTGGTTCAGATAAAACTAACCATGTATGCTAGAGGTCAGAGACAGTGTCTTTTTACTTCTTAGAATAGTGACTAAGCTGCATAACCTTGGTTTTATCTGTGGCAGGCTTTTTTGCCAAGAGGAGCCAAATTAGTTATCCAGACTTAAAAAAAAAAAAAAAAAAAACAGCACTCAAACAAACACAAAGTGAGTTTTGTTACTTGGATCGTCTTACCCAGGAAAGTTATTTGACATTTGTCTTGAAAGTGAAATGGCGTCTAACTCAGAGTACAATGCTTTTCGGTCAATAATTGATTAAGATCTTCTCAGTTACTCATCATGAGTGGGAGCTTCTGTGTGCCTGAAGTGAAACATGAGTGATTGTTTTGGTGCCTTTGGAAAAATCTTTATTTTGTGTGAGACAAGGTCACAGTGAAAGTTGAAGAGCAACAAAGCATTTTCAAGAAACAATTCAGCTCATTATTATTCAAATTTTTACCGGACAAATTAGCGCTGGATACTCATTAGCCTTAACACGTACATTGTTCTTCCTCTCTCTTCTGTCCAGGTGTCAGGTAATGGCCAGCAGAATGTGGAGAAGGCCCTGAAGCTGTTTGGCCAGCTCATCAACAACAAAGTGTTCCTGCTCACCTTCATCCGAACACTAGAAATGCAGCGTTCTTTCTCCATGAGGGACCGTGGCAACGTGGCCTCACTTATCATGACTGCCCTGCAGGGGCGACTAGAGTACGCCACTGATGTCCTTAAACACCTGCTGTCGGACCTGATTGACCGCAACCTGGAGAGCAAGAACCACCCCAAACTGCTGCTGCGCAGGTAACATTATGATGATGTCCTTTAGTGAAGTAAGACCTACCTTCAGTTGTGTTCCACTAGATGTAAAATAAATTACACTTTATGAAGTAGATTTACATTAAATATCACCCTCAAAGGCACCTAAAGAAAGTCAACAAAGGAAAACTTGCCAATAACAAATTAGTTTTGTTAATACGCTTGATTGACTTTTAAGTTGTGAAAAAGAATAAAGACAATTAAAATAACATAAAGTAATATAAACAAGCAAGTGCCTCTTTAATATTAGACACAATCATATAGAGAAAGTGCCTTAATCCTTAGAAATACTGTTTGTTTCATTTAATTAATCAGTCAAAAAGAATGCACAGCATTACTGTGTACATTCACATGTGATGCTGGTCCTTGAAGATAATTATGTTCACACTGAAAACACATTCATCATATGAAAAAAATGTGAAGTCTAGCGCTGCACTAGGATGTTCTTGCATATAGACAGATGGATGGGGATTGATTTAAAGCTCTTTGCCCTTATATTATGGGTGAATGTGTTGTGACTTTTCCCACTCTCCCTGCTGCATGTAGACGCTTTACTGAACAAGTCTTGCAATGAGTTCTACAGTACACGAGGTAAACGGCATGCACTATTCACATCAGGAGAAACATCTGAATTCCCTGCATAATGCCACATTCTCTCCAGCGTGCTGTCTCTCCCACTGCTCTCTCTTAATGCCAATGTCAGTCTCACTTATCCTCCGGGCTCAGGCTCCTTATAAAACATTCAGAAGTGGTTCAACTTAACTTTTTTCCCTCTGTGTGTATCCGGTGTACATTGTTTTCTTGGGGAGTTGGGACGATGTGTTAAAACTTTAAACACCTGCTACGTTCTTGCCCAAGTGTCCTCAGCTGCTGTTGGTGGTAACACTGTGGGTATATAACTGGTTAAAGGACTGACAAACAATAATTTGCTCAAAGTGCACATGCAAAGCCTGAAAGCCTGACAGCTCTGTGCATGATTTTGAATGTGTTTACAAGACAAATAAGCTGAGACAGTGAGAGCAGGCAGCTGCAATACTTTCAAACAACAGCTTCATTTGGATGTTAATGTTCCCTTAGTGTCTCTCTTTGAAAAAAACGCATTAATAGTCGGAGTAAATAACTGCCAGACAGAAAAGACCACACTTACAGACAGGAAGAGTGGACTAAAGCAGCACAGCATCAAATGGACCTGGATTAAGCTGTTGTTTCACATGACAGCCGGGCCCCACGTCACCTCTACGTTTTCATTATCCTCCCTTATTAGGAACGTGGGGGTACATAATCCTCAGGTCCCACTGCTAGAGCCTGGAGGGCTAAATGTCCTATAGTTTTTACATTTCACTCTTGATTTTTGTGAAGAATTTAAGGGATTATGGATTTGACATGGCTCTTTGCTGTTGTTGTCATCTTCATCGCCTATTTAGAGAAAAGCCGACAGTCGAGCCAGCGAGTTGACTCACACACACACACACACAACTGTGATAATAGTCAAATTGACATGTCTCTAAGCAGTATTTGTGTTTGTGCAGGGCATAGAGTGAGGCCACTAGGCATACCCGAATAGTGAAATATTTGCTCTTATTCCATTCCCTTCTGTTTTCTGGTTGCAATAAATTAGTAGTAAATAAACCTCTTTGCTTTTTCTAATGCATCTGTGTGTGTAGGTGTTTAGAACGTATCATACTACCATACTGAAGCAGTGAGCACAGCTGTGCCGACTATACTTGAGTCCAGCGGTTTCAGTGTATTAATAGCAGCAGCGTCCACTCTGAATGTTGTTCCAGATAAAATACCGGTGAACTTACAGTTGCAGAGCGAAGTTTACATGGCAACCTGAGAGTGCCGACACACAGGAAGGACCTGCAGGTCAACCCACCCACTTCCTTTTCCCATTTATATTACAGTGGGTTGAAAGTGCATCCCAAGACACGTTTGAGTTGTAGCAAAGAGCCTTTCTCCGCTCAGCTGTCATGGAATACTTTTCTCCAGAGGGGAGCACGTCCACAGGCTAGCATGCTCCAACCATAATCACAGAAGCGTCACAGACAAAGATACAAAAATAGTTTCATCTATCATGTGCTTTCGGAGGTTATCGTCATGTTGCCATGTTTCTGGCAAAAGTAATCAAAGTTTAATATGCACAGTGTATCTACATTATTAAAGGACATGGTTGCCTTTATTCTAGATGCATATTTATGGTATTCAAAGCCATGAAGACCAAAACCAGCACAGTGTTGGCATGTCTCTCAGTACTTTCCGAGCTCTGCAGTCTGTCACTCCTGGAACTCAACCCCAAAGCTATTTGTTACTAAACTTGTAAGTCTCTAAAAATAGGTTGCAGATAAAAATTCTTTCATTTTTAAAAGACTAAATAAAACACAGATTTGGCGCAGGAGCATCTACTCTAAATACATTACTGTGACCACGTTATCTACAACAATAGAGCATGTCATCTTGTGCAACGGTGTGGTTCATTTGTTTGTTCTTTTATGGTTCTGCTTTGTGGGTCTATGGCATTTAGGTACATGTTAGATCAGGCTTCATTTAATTGTTGGATTTGGCCTTTTCGTCTATAAAGAAACATGTAGAATATCAGCAGATTTATCCTTTAAAGACACAGCCTGTCTGAATGCGTAACATGCCTGTGTTATGTCAGACATACATTTATCATTTTTACATGAATCTTTCTCATGACTTCACTCAGACATGCCCACAGCTGAGATGGAGAGAGCCACAGTGCGCATGAAATATTTGCCATACATGCAAAAGAGGATAGTAAATCAAGTGATGTATAATGCATAATAATGCACTGATAAGCAAAAGACTAAATCTAAACTAATAACAGATTGTCAAGCTGTCCAAGTAACTAACAGCCCAGTTTATTTATTAATTACTGTACACTGAAAATTTCGGTGGTAATTTAATCACTACTACTGTAACTCTGTGTGTGGCAGGTAGATCCTGAACTATGCTCTCTCCATGTCATTAATGAGGTTACTGCTGTTTTTCCAGTTGCATAAAAACATATTAAGAAAATACTCCTACACAAAGCTGTAAGCAACAAATTTCAGCTACTGCTATCGCTGAACAAAAACCCACATTCCATTGAGTCGTGTTAATCTGATGTATTCTGTCTTCATTGTACTAAAGTTCTGTTTTTTTTGGACATCTCAGCTTTTTTAATAGATGTGAAATTATAGAGCAAGGTGAATAAGAAAAGGTGTTCTTGGAATTGGCAGCAAACTGTGAGCTGAAATGTGAAAAAAAGACTTCCTTAAATCGCTTCACGCAACTCGGGTTGCGCTGCTTGTGCGTGTCTATCTGTTAATGTGATGGTATGCAGGTCAAAGTGATGAAAGTGATATGTAAAAGCTAGCAGGTCTGACTTTGCGAGATTGCAACTTTCACAGAAAAGTGAGCCGGATGCCGACACGTTCAGTTGAGATGAGATTAATGGAAAGGACTGCATGTCTGAAAGGGGCTTAACTGTAAACAAGCGATTGAAAAACAAAGGATTATCACCTGCTGTTGATTGACAGGCAATTTAATAAAATACTGACACAAGACAGCGACTAAGCCGTGTTAATTTACAATGCAAACTCTTCAGGGTGCATTTAGAGTTGTAGAATCGGGTGTATTCAGACTCTTGAGTGCTGAAACCTGTAGTGTATATTCACACTGTAAGAGAGCATGAACACAGCATGTGCACACGGCGCATGGGGAGGCTCTGACACAGCAGCAGAGTTATGTTGCTTCTCCGGCTAAAGCAAAGGCATCCTTAATTATTGAGCCCCTTTCTTTGTGGCGAGAAGATGGAGTGCCACGCCATCGCTGGCCGCCGTACAACAAGAGAAAGGGGAGGACAGGAGGGAAGATGAGAGGAAAAATGAGGAGGAGGATGAGTGGGATTCAACAGTTAGACAACTAATAAACATATTAATTCAGCAGATTAAATGGAGGCTCTAAATGCTTTCCACAGATTAATTTCCAAGTTACGTGGGCAGCACGTTAAAGATGCTGCATGTAAACTCACTCTCTGATTAACATTAACTCTGCATCTCTGCTTGGCTCTCAGCGTCTCTGCCTCCAAAATACCTTCTTTTTTTTTTTTTTTTCCTTCATTCCTCTCACACATGTTCTGCCTCTCACATGGACAGATAATCTCCTGATAGTGTGTTTTTCATATTTGAGCATTTAATTGCTGATGTGCTATCTGTATTTTATTGAGAATGGTAATATTAGATTAATTTGAATCAGTCTACAGTCACTACATTCATCCTTAGTACGAGTCCCAACGATAGAACAAGTCCCAACTATAGATATAGCTATAATCATTTTTGATGTGTTTGATGTGATTTTTGATTTTAAAAAAAAAAAAAAAGCGATGAAGAAAGTGGCTCTCTTGAGTAGTCTGCAGGGCTACAAGTAGGTTAAATAAAATCGCTGTTCAAACATCATCTCTCTTCGTCAGTCATGTTAAGTGAGATCTGATAGGCACATTTGCTGACTGTAGATTTGCGCTTAATATGCTCACTTTAGATCAATAAATACATACAGAAATGCATCATGAATTTTTTATTAATTGCGGCTTTCTGTTCTGTTGCTTAAAGAAGCTGGATGGGCTGAAGAGGTAAAATGAATGCATGTGACAAGCCTCTTGGCAGAGGAAGCGAGATGGAAAACAAATCATTGCCATTTATTTGGGGAAGTAGCTATTTGCGTAATAGTTACAAAGAATGCAACATGGCTCATGTCAGCGGTTGAGTATGATGGTGGGGTGGATGTGTTTCAGTGCCAAAGGGCAATTTGTAAATGTTATACCGCACTACACATCTCATACTAGACATTGTGCCCTGCATGCTCTTTTTCCTATTATGCTCAGCTCGGTGCTGGGTCCCACTTTACCAGCCATCATAGCAGACCAGTGAAAACACATTCTAGTATGTGCATTATGTTGCATTTATGTAACAAAGATGTAATATCCCCAGTCAGTTAAGCTCCTGGAATCATGATTGAAGGGTGCACTCGTGCTCCTCCGAGGCGCGTTTTTCAGAGAATCTCTGGTCTCTTTGGTATTTAAAGATTTCAGATGCCTTCTGGTTTCTTTGTCTTGATAGTGAAAATTTTTTAGCTCGCAGACACTTTCATTCTCCCTAAAAGCTTTTTGAAAGCAATATCTAAGCTTTGTGTTTGATTTCCTCACTCTTCAGTGTGCTAAGTGGAATTGATGCAGCACCCCATAATGTTTGGATTGTATTCAGCGCCATTAGTGAAACATGTTCTTGCGTTCACTTTCTCTCCGCGCTCTACCTCTCCAGTGCTCGTCCCAGCACTCCCTCTCTCCTCATGTGTGTGTTGTCATTGGCCTCTCCTTCTGCCCGTCCATTATTACTCACACTCTCGTGGTGTTAGATGACCCCCATCAAAACATCCCAGATTAGCCACTTCTTTTTTACATTTAAATCTATTCGCCGTTCTCTCCATCTCCTTCTTAAGTTTTTTTTTTGCCACAGCCACTCATTTCACCCAGTTTCCTTTCTCTTCTTTATAATGTTCTTTTAATGGAATCACAGAACATTGCTTCTATCACCTTGAGACTTTTCAATCTTGTATTATTTTTCTCCTCAGCGTTTTTGTAATGAGATTTCCGCCCATGCAGAGCAATGGAGTACAGCATTATTAAGAGAGCGAGTATTGTGTTTGGCATTAGTTTCATTGAAAGACATTCCGCTGGCTGCTAATATAGCCTCCCCCCCCTCCATCCCTCCATCCCACCATCCCTCCACCCTGGCTGCCATTAGGAGACCAGCAATGGGGCCTCCTCTCAAACACTATGTGGGATAATGAAATCCTGATGTTCATTAATGAAACTCAATTAATAGAAAGAAGGAAGAGGAGGCAGATGAGGAGGAGGACAAGAAGGAAAGGAGAAGGAGGAGAACAAAGTGCTTCTCCCCCCCTCCTGACATTCAAGAGGAGAGATATTAAGGGGGAGTCGGCGCAGCCCCCGCACAAAAGGCTTTATTTGACTTCCTTCTTCGGGACTTGCTGAGCTTATTAAAATGCTTAATAGGTTCCATTAACTTCTAACACACTCAAGTCTCCTACAAGCAGGGAGGGGCACATGGTAAGCATGGAGGGGGGGTAAAGAATGGTGAATTCTTGTAGAGGAAGAAGGGCAATTACAGAGGGATTTGGGGTATTGTCCAAAAAATCCACAATATATTTAGGTTTATTCAGCGTGAAAATACAGCCTCAGGCTCTCGTGGCTCCTTATTATGTTTTTCAAAGGGAGACTTTTTACTGTGCAGCATTCCAATGTTGAGCTTGTGAATACTGTATGTGTGTCTTTCTTTTATTTTGTATGTATACCCTCACCTGTGTATTTATATATATGTCGGAATGACAAAGAGGAGAGAAGCACTGAGTCTGTGTTTGTGCCACCAAAGAGGATGCAGTCACTCATGTATACATGTACAGGAGCGCGCACTTTTGCAGCTTTCAGCTTTTCGGCAGTGTTTACTCTCTCATCCTGGAGCTGAAACTGGGTGAGCTAATCTACATGCTTCTCCCCCCTGCTGGCACATCACACTTGAAATAGGCTGTCACCCAGCTCTCCATCCTCTCAACGAGCTGCCAATAGACTGGCCAGCAGTCTCATTCACAGGGGAATAGCCTCCAGGCGTGGGAGACAACATCACAACTCAGCCACACATCATTCAAAACAAAATAGAACCTCTGCTCCACTGTCCTGCAGCTGCAGGAAAGTTTCATATTTGCAAGTCAGGGTGGAGGAGAGAAAGAGAGGCTTCACTCTATCTCATTTTAATGAGAGAGAAAGACACCTTTTCTTGTCTCAGTGACTAAAATGTTAGCTGTTGTAACCTCCTTGGCTCAAACAATCCTTCTGGGAATTTTGCTTCGGTCCTACGCTCTTGCTTATAGCCCTCAAACACGACTTAACACAATTATCTCCATAATAGTCATAATCACCCTTCAGGTCCATTCAGAGCCTGAATAGGTATAATCATCCGGAGCCCTATTGAGAAGACGGAAGCCTTCTAGCTTGTCTTTAATACCTGGCTGCTTCGATTCCTGCTAATCCCTGGTTCAGCACAGTGTGCTGTACGGCCCCTCCATCATATCCACCAGAGTAATCACAGTAATTTCCTGCTGCATTAAGAGGGTCATTTTTTTCAATACATTGCCATTTAAATTGGTGCCGTTCGTATACAAGCGGAGATCACTGGCGGTCAGGTGACAATCACAAGCTGTCACACTCTTGCAAACAGCAGTGCGGTCTGTGGAGCACTTTACCACGGCATGTTAAGTTATGACTAATGTGTGTAGCAGCTATGTTAGAGCTGGCCAGAGTAATAATGTGTGGACGAGAAACCAGCTGCAGAAAACTCATTTTCTGATCCAAAGCAGCTTGGAATTGGTGTTTTTCAGGCCGCATTTTTAATTCTGTATAGGCTCGTGGAGCAGTCGAACAGAGAAGGCAAAAGAGCAAAGCAGAAGCGTTTTTACAAGATGAGGCAGAAGCTTGTTTTTGCTATTCACCTCAGGTGCTTGTCCGCACAGAACTAACCCTTTCATCTATGCTTCATGCTCGTTAACCATTCCCACCTGGCTGTTTGGTATTCTGTGTTTTTTTGTTTTTTTGAAGTCTAACTTCTGTTTCTCTAGTGTTCCATGATGGTGCTAATGAGGCAGAGGGAGGATGCTTGTCTGGCATTCTGAGAGAGACACGAGCAGAAATCATAAAAGAGGCACACGCAGGCCTCTCGTGTGCTCTGCGGTAGAAATAGTCGAGAGGTCATTGCACACTTGTGTTTTTTCATGCCCAATCAAGCCCAGCAGCAGGCTGTACCTCCGTGTGCGATTGACTGGGAAGGGAGAGGCAGTGGGGGGAAGGCAGAGGAAGAGGGGAGGAAATGAGAGGAGAGTAGATCGTTTTGGCTGTGATCAGGCGTTACCTGGCTGTGACAGCACTCGTCTCTCTCAACAGCTGAGGCTTGTCACAGCTGCTGATGTCTCGCTGTGTTGAACCACACATGAATAATCAGCCACACACACACGTTTGTTCACACCGACGGCCATGCATACTCAATCACACACACACACACACATGTGCAAGCCATGCACACACAGATGCCCTCTCTCTGCTCTGTTCACTCACTGTGACCACAGTGTTGCAGGCGGTACACGAGCACAAAAACCAAAGGCAGGGTGCACACACCCAGGATGTCAGGATAACCTCCCTGAAGTCATTCAAGTAACCTCATGAAATATGGAACACTTATATTATATAAATGTTGTGTATTATCGAGAGAAAGCATAAAATGACTTTCTTCTCTCCTGTTTTTTTAATGTAATTTCAGAACTGAGTCGGTCGCAGAGAAGATGCTCACGAACTGGTTCGCCTTCCTCCTTCACAAATTCCTCAAGGTTAGTGCACCAAGCAACACATGCAGTGAGACTGTGTGTTTACAAAAATAAATGTATCTTTTGTGTCTTGTGAAGTTTCTAAATTAAAAGTGTGACTGGACAGTATGTGGGCTTGTTCTCAGTCTGTTGGGCTTTTTTTTTTTTTGTGTGTTTATGCTGTGAAGCTCTCTCATGTGTGAGTCTGTGGGTTTGTCTGTGTGTTCACAGGAGTGTGCTGGGGAGCCTCTGTTCATGCTGTACTGCGCCATCAAGCAGCAGATGGAAAAGGGGCCCATCGACGCCATCACTGGAGAGGCCCGTTACTCCCTGAGTGAAGACAAGCTCATCCGCCAGCAGATCGAGTACAAAACCCTGGTACGTCACAGTCCGCCAGGCACACAAGAAGCTTGCAAATAGGCTCGCAGTCATACACAGGTTGACTCAAAATGGCTTCCCTTTAGTTAAAGTGCTGCCAAGCTGAGACACACACTTTTTTAAAATAGTGGAAGAGAGAATATTACAACATGCACACACACACACACACACACACAATTTCCTAACTTTCTTACTTTTTCCTCGTAAACCTTCATTGACAAAGCTGTGTTTGCTGTGTTGGGTTTCTTCCTTCCATTGTGGGAGGAAAATTACCTAATGATCCCACAGGCTCCAGTGTTGGTCCAACATCAGGGTAGGTGGCCGTGGAGATTGGAGCACACCAAACAAACCCCTCTCGGCACACAGAGAAAGAAGCACTCACACAGCCAGCATGTGACATGACAATGCTCTGATTGCTCTGACTGGGAATTTGGCTCATTACGTGCTAATACCCCGGCAGAGCTGGAAATTGGTGTCCCGCCGAAGGTGTGAAATTAGATTTCAGGATGCCAGCAAGAGCGGAAATGGTTTCTCAAAGCTCCTGCCATGCTCCAAGGAGACTCTAATGAGGGCGAAGCCTCAAGCTGGACCCAAGTCCGGGCAGTAACAGGACTCCACAAGCTTCTTCCTCTGCTCCCTTATTTCCTTCTGTAATATTTCACTCTTTCTCCCTCCTCTCCTCTCCTCCTCACCTTCACACTCCAGATCCTAAACTGTGTGAACCCAGACAATGAAAACAGCCCAGAGATCCCAGTCAAGGTGCTGAACTGCGACACCATCACCCAAGTGAAGGAGAAGATACTCGACGCTGTTTACAAGAACATGCCCTATTCTCAGCGGCCACGCGCCGTCGACATGGACCTCGGTATGGCATAAACACACACCCACGCACGCATAAACACACACAATCCAGACACTCGCAGATGCAGCTGGCAGGTGTAAAGTCCTTCACACCCACAGATTAATGTATCAGTGAGAGAAAACCTAGCCATGTGTACAGATTATCAGTGCATTAGTGTGATAAAAGCTGTGTTCCGGCAGCCCAGCCAGCGAACCAGACTTGGTGTGCTGCTGCCAGGCCTTCTATCAAACTGACTGACAGTGTGTGGCGCATCCCTCCGTCTGGCTGCTTTCACTGCCTGGTAGTGCCAATGAGACACTGTAGATCAAGATAGAGAAGAGGGCTTGTCTTTATGTGTGTGTTTTTTGCGTCTGACGTAGGTAAGAGCTGACAGACTGGCCCACCAGCCTCACGCCAGGCTCCCCTCCCACGCAGTCTGCCACTTCCATCCTCGCCTGCCCATACCTTGCCTCCCGTTCCCCCTTTCCTCTCATTTTCTCTCACTCGAGATAGGCAAAGAGAACAAAGGCCCCCCTCTGCTCGCTGCAAGTCAGCACGGCATCTATCCCCTCACAATATGTCTCTGTCCATCTACTGTCTCCCCTCTTAAAAATAATTGCATCCGTGTGAGAGTGTCTGCATGTCTGCATACGTACATGTGTGGTCTGACTCACCGGATGTAGATTGCAGGTATAAGCCCGCTGCTGCTCATCCTTTTCACACGGCTTTCTGCTCCCCTTCTGCTATCTGTGTTACGGATTTCAAAATATCTTCACAATGTGAAACAACAACAACAACAAGATTTAAACTGTGCAGTAAAAAGCAGTTCCGCTCATTGTTTTGATGAATTTGCCATTTTGATGACAGTGCTCACCTTCCTGTGCAGAAACACTGTCGCTGCATCCATCACTTAGCTCCATCCAGTACACTTATGACTGCTTTAAATAAAATACAAAGAAGCAAGAGTGTTTTTTCCTCAGTTGGAGGATGCTAATGAGGTGCAGCCAGACCATTCTGTCCTGCGGAGTCTGGTACATATGTGACAGCGTCTTTTCTTTCTTCTTTTTTTTTTTTTTTCTGCAGATTTGAGTCAGGTTAGATGGTTTTGTGCATATCATGTGGTCACCTGGCAGATGCACAAAGTAATAAAACCCAGTCAACAAGGAGAAAATCAATGATCACTCCCAGCATGAGGCCCACAATGGCGACTATCCACTTCCCTGTCAGTATCCTTATTATCATTTCATTACCCCACAATGACCCGTCAGCCACTACCCTCCACCAGCACTGCTTATGGTCTCTACCCCTGCTTCCTTTTTTTCTTTTCTTATTGAAAGGAGGGGATTTTCTCATAGCTCGCTTTTTCATCCTGTCTTGTCTGCTCCACTTCTCTCTTCTTTCTGACCCTGATGGGCCAACTGCTGCGTATGTGACACAAGTACCAATTAAAGCGCGCAGCCTTCCTGCATATACATCTTGAAATTGTTCATGTGTAATGTTTAATTAAGATGCGTGTCAATCCAAGTCTGGGAGATGAGTACACATGCCGAGAGCCGTACAAGAGCACCGGCTGCTGATATCTATTCATTTTATAAGTGCGGAGAGCTGTCTCTGTGAGTCTTGTAAGGTGGCATTCCACCGGGGGTTTGAGAGAGTTTGGTTTATGTTGTAAGGATTCACTGTTTTTTCTGTGAGGTATCTCGTTCTGAAGGCAGTGTGTAAAAACCAATAACCAAACTGTTAATTCAAAGCAGGCTTTTTGAACACGTTTACGGCTCAAGTGGTAGTAAGGTCGGTTGTTCAATTCCTCAGCCCCTCAATGTGCTGAAGTGTCCTTGGGCAAGACTCCGAACCTCAAGTTGCTCCCGACGGCAGGCAACCATCTTGCACGGCGGCTCTGCCAATGTTTATCTGTGAATGTGTGTGAATGGGTGAATGAGAAACACATTCTAAAGCGCTTTGTAGAGCCAAGCTATGCTGCAAAGACTTGACCATTTACCATATGTGGATGGTAAATACATGGCACCCAAACCTCTCGGATGAAATCAGTACGGACGATATTCGCTGTGGCTCACTGTGATTGTGTAGTTTGAACGAAGCAGTTGTTTATGATTTATCGTGTGCGTTTGTGTCATCAGAGTGGCGTCAGGGGCGAATGGCTCGTGTGGTGCTGCAGGATGAAGACATCACCACCAAGATCGAAAACGACTGGAAGAGACTCAACACTCTCATGCACTACCAGGTAAACACACACACACAAACATTTTAGTGTAATGTTTCCCTTAATTAACTCTCAAACTGCACCTTTTTTTTTTTTTTTATCAAGAAAAGTCTCATTTCAGTTCAATTTTCTGCTGTGGCTTTTATTATGGAAATTGCACCACATACCTTGGCAAACTTTGATGTTTCCTGCTCTTGACTTTTAGGCAGCCAATTTTCAGCTCCTCATTTGCATGCCCATGCCTGGTGTAATCCAAGTGACTCACAGAATAGAGGACAATTACTGTACAGGTGGCAGGAGAGATGAACTCTCAGCATCTCAGCCAACACTTCTCCCTCCTCCCCGGAGAGATGAAGCTGCTCCAATCAGGAGGACGACATCTCTCTCCCTCTCTCCTTCCCTCTCTCCTTTTCTCTCCTTCTCCCTCCCTCTCTCTCTCTCTGGCCCGTTGACTTCTACGTCGGCAACAATTAGTCCCGCTGTGACTGCCTGCTTCTTTCTCCTCACATGTAGAACCCCCATTCACACTCCACAATTTTAATTCACCTGTTGCCCCCCTGCTTAACAGAGAGAAAAGTAGAGAGCTACAGAAGAGGGAACGTGAGGACAAGAGTAGTTTTGCATTTTTCAGGCAAATTTATGGCTCTTGAAGTTGTAAATGAAGAAAAAAGAAGCGAGTAAGTGGAAGCCAGAGAGAAATTATAAAGAGGGATATAAGGAATAAAGAAAGAAGCAGGCAAGGGAGTCTGAGAAAACAGCCATCTCCACAGGCCATGAATCTTTTGCAATGCATGTGCAGCCAGCTCTCATTAGTCAGCCAAGGGGGACCATCTGCTTAAAGACTGCATGAGATTTGATCCTGGGCTACCTGCTTAAGATCAGCGTGCTGGGGTTGAGATGCAGCTTTGGCCAGAGCTGGAGATCAGGAGATGCAGCCCCATCTGGACGCAGAAAATAGGGGTGAGGTGACAAGGCTTAAGACCTCACAACAGGGGGTCATCCTGAACTCCTGGCCCAGAAGAACAAGCAGAATAATTTAACAGATGTAGGACTCATTAGAAGAAGGGACACATCGCAGTGTCCTTCACACAGGACTTGGCACCATGCAGCTTCTTTCCCCTTTGTCTTTCCTCCCTTGTCACCCTCCTTTCTCCTCTCACCTTTTTCTCCACTCTCTCACTTTTTTTTTTTTTTTTGCTTTGTTTGCATTTTTTTCCCCTCACCCATTTCCCCTCTTCTCACCCACTGATGGGCAATGAGGATTCTTCTTCTTCCGTCATCTTTTCCTTTCTCCCTTTTTTCCCCTCTCTTGCTCTGAGCACCTCTTCTTGGTTTCTGCAGTACTTTGATCCCAGATGAAGCGGTTCAGTATGTTTGCTTCCGCACCATAATGGGCTCTTCTGTTGTTTTTTTTTTCTTTTGGGGTGGGGGGTGGGGGGGATGCAATTTTTTTGCATCGCAGTCTGTTTGCCTTCGTTAGCCAAGGGAGACGCTACAGTGCGCGCAGCAACGTGCGTGTGGCCACTTCACTGATTCACTTGTTCAATAGCGGACCTGTGGACCTCTATTGATCGTGGATCTGAGGGTCCCTACACAGAACGTGAAGCCCAACACTGTGGACTTCAGAGAACATACCGGCAAACTGTGCAGCAAGTGAGGGAGAAAGAGCATGATGGAACAGGGCAGTTGGTGGTGGGAGAGATCAGAGCGGGATGGAACAACACAGACACTTTTTGCATCATTACTGTTTTGACGAGCTGGCAATAGCCCCTATGTGCGAGCTTGTGTGGATTTGTGTCACACACCGTGGCACTGCATTGGCAGCTGTGACAACACATCTGGCTACATATCATAACAAGGAAGCGCAGCTCATTAGGCCCTCGAGTGAGGGAAAAGCTTGTGGAAAAAAAAAAAATGGGGATGGGGTAAAGAGGAAACAGTGAAAAGGGATCTGCAATATGCAGAGCGGGTCTGAGCATCACCTTGAGTATTTGCTAATTCTCCCATAGCAGAGACAAAGGGACGAGACAGAGGTATTAAAATTCATAGGGCTCACAGCAACCCAAGAAACCCCATTGGCTATTTACTCGGCCACATGGGAAATAATGGTTTACACAACCTGGATATGGAAATTCACACCTTTCCAGCTCCACGCTACAGTAAAATTAAAAACATAAATGCACACATTGAAAATGAGTTCAGAATCTTTATTCATCACCTTTGCATTCATAGTCAGGGGACTAAACTCCCTTCCTCCCACGTCTTTCTCTCTGTTTCTGTATTATTTTTTTTAAACTGTTTCTTGCGTAGATCAAGATAGAAGAGTATAGAATCACGCTCAGTGTGCACACACATGCAGGATATACCCTCATTGCCCATGCTTATACTCAGATCAACACAGGAGCTGAGATAAAAGATTTATGAGATTGGGGAGTTTTTGGCTGATTGCTGATTTGGATCTTTCTTTGTTGATTAATCTTCCTTCCTGTCAAAGCAAAGCTTTTCATCACACCTTCTTTCTTCTGCACCTCCCGCTCTGTCTCTGTCATTCTGAGACATGTTAGTATTAACATTGCTGCTGTTGAATCGTTTCTGGGTAGTAAGCAGTGATGCCAAGGAGTCCCACAGCTATATCAATGGGACAGACTGCGTTCAAATTCTCATGAATAGGACATTCGTAAGTTTTGTGTTTTTTTGGGGTTTTTTTTAATGATTCAAATCATTCAAATCATACACAAGATATTTGATAAAATCTTTATTCATTAGATGGCTTTTCCAGCATATTATTTGTGGAGGCACATGAGCCATGTGTGTCTCTTCTGGAATATTATTTATAATATGCAGCTAAGTGACGGGAATCATCAGACATCAAAGTAAAAAGTGAAGTCAGTTTGGAAACTTTCCTCCCCTGGCTGGTGACCTCTGAGCGTCCTCTTCTCTGCGGTGAAGGAACAGGGAGAGCAGACACTGATGACCACACCAGGAGAGTCTGCCAGCTGGATCCGGTTACCCACCTTGCAGACAACACTTGTGGCATTTTGGGATATTTTCAACAACCCCAGACACAAAGGATACTACTACACTGCTGTGTGTTCATTAATCTGATGCTGTGGCTGTCTAGGCTCACCGGTCCCCATTGTAAATCTAAATACGCATCTAGTGCAGGTTAAAATATGAAGGTTCATTAAGAGGAAGAATATTGTCCATGCAAATATTTAACAAACAGTATTAGCATGAAAATGAAAAGGCATATTTGCTTAATCCTGCACTGCTGTTTGCAACCTGAGTCATATCTCCAACAGCTGTGGTATTTGAAAGAACTTACAATTACACATTTCACTGATTCAAATCCTCCTTAATTCCATTATAAAGTCCTGCAAATTGGCATTAAAGTCTGGAAGAGATCCTTTGTGAAGTCCAAGAACGTCATATTCACATATTACAGTTCAAGCTCTGATGAAAATTGCACATATGCACAGATTGTGTGTTTCTAAGCTACTGGGCAGAGTCAAAAGGTATGATAAGCATCGTGATCTGAGGGCATGAGCCCATGAGAGATGGGACACCAAGGGGAAACAAGTTCGGACCAGAGCGACGGGTTGTGTGGGGAGGTGCTGAGAAAAGAGAGATAGAGGATGACCACACTCTTCTGTCTGGTCGACTCTGCTCCGTCTAATGGAAGGTCTTATCACAGGCGGGGCCCACAGCCCTTATCACACCTGCCCACTATCAGCCCCACACTGGATTATCCCTGAAGGGCGAATCTGCACGCCTTCAATCATTTACTACTATCACAAGGACCCATCTCAGCTCTAGCCTCTCTGTCAGCCATAAAAAGCAGAGAGAAAGAGGGAGAGAGGGAGAAGTAAAGGGAAAGGGGGGGGGCAGAGAAGCTATTTCATGCTTCCGAGAGAAAATGTATCACAGGAATAGCGGTGGAAACTTCACGGAAGTCCATGCTGTTGGTGTATTAGAGTTGGTTCATGCATCGTCAGCCAAGAGGAGGCTATAAGATGGAGAGGCCATAAAAATTAGGTTTAGGAAAGCAGAGACAAATGAGAAAGAGGTGAAGTGCGAGGAGAGGTCAAAGATGTTGGTCGTAGGTGGGGGTTAGGAGCAACATTTTTCATTTGTCTCAAAAAGGCACGGGCTCCAGAACTGCGTCTTTAAGAGGATTTCTCCACATTTCATCCCCATTCAAGTGTCTCTCCGGTACGGCCAGTAGAGGCTAGATGGCAACTCGAACTAATACCACAACCGAGATTAGTTTGCAAAGAGCGGGAGAAAAGGGGTGAACACAAGAATCAGGGAGGATGAGATGAGGTTGGCTCTCGAGAACAAGGACAAGCTCTGTAAATGCCCGTCGCAGCATCCACTGGCTTATTTTCTAGCAAGGGATGAAAAAGAGCCTGTGCCTTCTAAAAGAAAAGAAAAGCAGAGTTTTCTGTTTTTCTATAGATTCTTTGAGGTATTCCTTTTGGAGCCTGGCATTTGCCTTTTGTTTATTTCTCCACTGGAGGCTCATCAGTTTTTCTTCGCTGGGTCTGAAGCAAAAATCCCACCTCGGGGTGAGCTGTAAATGCCAGCCAACAAGCTGTTTGTTGTTTTTTAGAAAAGAACCGCAAGTTTTTCTTTGCCGTTTTGTTTTTTTCCAAACTGGGATGTCTGGGCGTACCAACAGTGGTAGCATTTGAAAGATTAATTATGATTAAATTGCCATTTCATGATTCGTTAATACCACTGTTATATTAATGAAAGATCTGTGTTAAGAAACGTCTTATCAAACAAAATTTGAGGACTTCCGTTCTCATGTCAGTTGCATCAATTTTTCTCAGCTTCATCTGTAATGACTGGAGTAGAACATACAGGGCCAAGAGCCCTTTGTAAATATCAACCGCAGAGAGAGAAAGGGATAAACCTCAGTGTCTGTCTCTTATTCATGACACAACATCTTTTACACAGCCTCTTCTCTTTGTCTTTCACTTCGACTCTGACTCCATGCTGCTCTATTGCTATTATTATACCTGCGTACCCCATTTTTTTCAGGTTGTGAAGTGTACACGAGATGAGACATTCGGCATTCTAGTCTCTGTCTCTCTCACTCTCTCTTAACATCTTATCCCAGTTCCAAAGCTTACATCATGTCTCTAAGGTTTCTGAAGGGGATGACAATGACAGTCATGTTGAGTACAGCCATCATGCAGCCACAGCACTCTGCTCAGCTGTTAAAAAGAAAAAAAGCCACGGGGCTGTGGTAGAAAACAGCAGAGAACATAGATATGAAGGGAAGGGATGCAGGGGTTTCAGATATGTTTTACTCATGGGAGTATTCACTCAGGGCCTCATGTGGTCTCCTCCTTGGTATAAAATATTTGTGACACGAGCATGTGATACATAAATACATCTGGTGGTTTGTGATGATGAGCGATAAACACTCGCGTAAATGCTGGAACGTTATTTCAGCGAACGGTAAAGTAGCCATAAAATTGTCTAAAACATTATGATGCCTAAATATGTGTAACATGCGTCTCCTCACACAGGTGTCCGATCGCTGTGTGGTGGCTTTGGTGCCCAAGCAGACTTCGTCGTACAACATCCCTTCCTCAGCCAGCATATCACGCACCTCCATCAGCAGATATGGTGAGTCTGTGGGCCACATTGCTCTTTATATACCCTTGTTGCAGCTTTGATTACACTGATTGCAAAATGCCATACAGCGTATATGTTAGGCAATTAGAAATGTAATTGCAGGCTCATTCAACAGATAATTCAATGTAGACCTTGTTTGCATCACACAGATGCATCAACGTGTTTTTTATATGAGTATTTCAAATATGAACAAAGACAAATCCACTCTCGCCAAAGCAAGGGTCTGCTCCTTCTTCTTTTTTTCTTTTTTTCTTTTTTTTTTTGCTGCAGAGGTTGTTTTTCCTTTTTTCTCTGTCCAACTTTGTGTGCTGCAGTTTGCCTTCCAGTTCAGGTCCAAACTCAAGTGAACGGCACAAGAGAGGAAAGAATGAACAGAGAGAAAAAGAGAGGGGGAGGATGAGCGATATAGTCAGCGTTTGTTTTTAAGGCCATAATGTTTTTTATAATAAGATGCATTCTGTGCAGGACACTTCGGGCTGCTGACAGCGCACACAGTCGCGCCTACGCGTGCACACACAGTGCATGCAGAGCCTATACGTGCATGCACACGCTTACGTCAGATGTGCTTGTAGTTTGTGCTGCTGGGTGCCAAATTTGGTCTTATGCCAGACACACAGAGCAGCACCAGGCAACTTGTGATTGCTAATTATTCTGTGTGAATGATACTTCACACAAACAGAAAAAGATAAGTGAGCATGGCCAATTATCAGGACTGGGGAGAGAAGGTGCCTTTAAACCACCTAACGCAGAAAAAGAGCTAACAGCATACTTATCCCTCCAAGCAATTACGCTTATTTACAACTGTTGGAAGCGGCGGGTACCTGTGGATTGTCTACTCTGTCCAAAAAAAAGAAAAAAAAGAACAGACCTTTATCTTCAGTGTATGTACTTATAATAAAGTGGAGTGACATTTTCAACAGAACTGATCAAGATTATCTATGATGACCTTTTAGAAGATTGCAGAGCACTCAGTCATTACTTTCTTTTAAACAGAACATCATAAAGGTTGCGGGGAGAGACAGCAAGATGATGGATGTGCAAAGCAACGTAAATAAGTATAACTACCAACATAACAAAGGGAAAGAAGCTTTCTCTGTATTATGTAGTTATTTTCCTTAGTAATTCCTAATTTGAACTTTTCCTTTTCAGCTTTTTTGGTGATTTGCAGCTGTGGAGTTGCAAGTAATTAAATTGCTGTGTAGAGGATATATTCTCTTACTTTCTTGTGGGTGTTCAGGCGCTGGAATCGGATGTGCATGGCATAGAAAGCAGAGCCTCTGCTGGCATGAGCCTGGCCTTCATCAATCACGGGTTGGCACAGCAGGCACAGCTGCACCTCGACACCTGCTGATGGATTCATACCAATTTCATGTTCAACACTTAGCATCTTGACTCAATTTACACCACCGGCACCCCCCTCTAGCTTTAAAATCAGCCTGAACACACTTCCCCACCGACTGGCTGCGTCCAGGGGCTGGGGATTGCGGCAAAAAAAGAGGGAAGGACTGCGGGTCGCTGCTTAGTGTTAGGGGAATTAGGAAAAAGCTGGGATGGAGGGCACGAGGGACCAGTAGAGCAGTAAAAACCAGTGACTGGATTAGGATGGGATTTGGGATCTCAATCCGCCCTGCACACGGGCGCATATATTCAACCCGGCCTGTCCCTAGTGGCCCCTCCAGAGGCGCAGTTTGGGCTTATTTGAAAGGTATAAGTGGCTTTATTGGCAGCAAATGCTTTGTTGTTCGGCTCGGCCTTTGAAGCCAGGTGAGAAAGATCCTCATTGGGATCCTCGGATCCTGAATCTCCTGGGAGCCAGCTGCCACGAGGAGACGCTGGCTAATTAGGGAAACCGAAACCGGCATCACTTTGAGTGAGTGAAGAGCAAGAAGGCTGGAACACAAGAGCAGAGACGAGTGGCATGTATGGATGAAGGATGGTGGCTACAGTGCTTAACAAATTAGGGATCTTTTGATGCATTGATTAGAGTGTGACAGGGATGTTTTCAACGTGGTGCTGTCACAATGTGGCAGCAAAGAGCCAATTATGAGCGCTTTTATGTGGAGCCAGGCACGACCATGAGACAGGGATTATATAAGGAAGAGAGGATGAATGATGAGTGAGATAAAAAGCAAATGATTATCAAATAATTCATGACAGAGAGGGAAGAAGTAAAAAGGGAATAAACACAGAGATAAACAAGCAGCTGTTGTGTGTGAGAAGACAAGCAGGTGTCAAAGTCCTGGTTTTCACTCATCTTGTGTGTCAGGGAAGGATTCCAGTTTCAAGGGGGCTACCGCTAATCAGTGCAACGCCAAAGACCACAACTTCACCTCCCTTTCATTTCTTCGCAGTTCTAAGAAATTATCCATCGCTGCTATTTCCTGTACAGCAGGGCTTAGAGCAGGAGAAGCAGCTTTGTAATGAGTTACAAAGAGGAGATGGAAATGAGCGAGGGGCTGCCTGTATGCCTGTGTGGGTGTGCTGTGTACGCCGGGTATAAATGCATGCTAAATTTACACAATGCTTTCCTAATCACACTCATTTAGGTTCACTAATAATTCTGCCTCCCCTACCTGGACAGACTCTTCATTCCGCTACACGGGAAGTCCAGACAGCCTCCGCTCACGCGCCCCCATGATCACTCCGGATCTAGAAAGCGGCGTGAAGGTTTGGCACCTGGTGAAAAACCACGAACATGGAGACCAAAAGGAAGGAGATCGCGGTAGCAAGATGGTGTCTGAGATTTACCTGACCCGGCTGCTGGCTACCAAGGTACATTCCTACTCTGCAGAACACTCTTAAGATCTGCATGTATGAACATTAGCACATGCTCAGCTCAGTTATCTTACATATTTTATTATGTTACAGTACTCAAGCTGTGTTTTTTCCAGTTGAGCGTTGTCTCTTGTTGCCCATGCATTGCTAATCTCATTGTGCTCTCGCTCTTCTACCAGGGTACGCTACAAAAATTTGTTGACGATCTATTTGAGACGTTGTTCAGTACGGTCCACCGAGGGAGCACTCTTCCGCTGGCCATCAAATACATGTTTGACTTCCTGGATGAGCAGGCGGATAAACATGGCATTCATGACACAGACGTACGTCACACGTGGAAAAGCAATTGGTAAGGACCTTTTTTTTAAAGTCACCAAAGTACTCTCTTAAGTGATACAGTTGTCCTCAAATGTATTCATACCCTCCCATTAAAGAAGGAAAAAAACCGGTTTTCCTTGAATTAGTTTTAATTTGCCAAAGTTGTTATTAATTTTTAAAAAATTATGAAAATCATGACATTGTTTTTTAATTGTGGTTCAACAGAAATATAAAAATAAAAATAAAAAAACAAGCAATCATGCATGATGGGGCCTATAAACTAATATTTTGTTGAACAGCCCTTTGAGCCAATCACTGCAGTCAAGTGTTTTCTGTAACTCTCAATCAGACTTGTGCACCTGTTGACAGGTATTTTGGCCCACTGCTCATCAGCAAAGTGCTCTCATTTGTCCGGGACAGTTTTGTTTGTTTTTTAAAATTATTCTTTTCAACCACAATTCAAAGCAATGTCTTATTTCACTAAATTATAATTTAGCAATATTTTGTTTATTATTACTTTTGTCCGTTTCTAGTTATTTAAGTGACTATTGTGAATTTTGCCTTTTCTTCAATGGAAGGATATGAATACATTTGAGGTCGACTGTAGGTCTCTATACCCTGGCTGTTCTTGATCTTGTCAAATTCATGTTTCTTCAACTCAGAGAAGTCACTGACCAAAACCAGTAACTTCTTTCTGTCTTTTCCTCATTCTCTTTGTCTTCCAGCCTTCCATTGCGTTTCTGGGTGAACGTGATCAAGAACCCGCAGTTTGTGTTTGACATCCATAAGAGCAGCATCACGGACGCCTGCCTGTCTGTAGTAGCTCAGACCTTTATGGATTCTTGCTCCACTTCAGAGCACCGCCTGGGCAAAGATTCCCCATCAAATAAGCTGCTCTACGCGAAAGATATCCCCAATTATAAGAGCTGGGTAGAAAGGTAGGAGCTGATGCAGACACTTTGTACACCATCCTGATCCCCTCTTTGACATCTTTTTTTTGTGTGTATCCTCTTACAATGATAAAAAAAAAGATCTTTTAGAAGATTGATTCATAATTCTCTTTTCTCTTTCATACACTTCTCAGAGAGATTCTGTAAAAGCATTTTATGAGTGACTGTTAGCAGGCATCCATTGTTCGTGAAAGTGATATTATGGCTCAAAAATGTGACTATAAAAGAATGTAGTCCTCAGTTAAACTGCTACATTGACTCAGTGAGTCTCTGAAAGTGATGCCAAGTGTTGCCTCTTGTCTGCATGCCCAGGTACTACGCTGACATCAACCGGCTGCCAGCCATTAGTGACCAGGACATGAATGCCTATTTGGCAGAACAGGCCAGACTCCACTCCACAGAGTTCAACATGCTCAGCGCTCTCAATGAGATCTACTCTTATGTCAGCAAATACAGCGAGGAGGTTAGTGATAGCCGCTCGCACACCCCTAACATGGTTACAGTCGGTGCATTGTGTGTCTGAAATTTTTGTGTTTGTGTTGAGTTTTTTTGTTTTTTTAATCAATCACAGTTTTCTTGACATCCAAAGAGCAATCTGTGTGTCAGATTTATGTGCATTAGTAGGAGAATCAGTGGAAGGATACGTGATTTCAAATTTTGCACTAAACAGAATTCTGAACGAGCACAAGTGTATTGAAATAAAGTTATTGGCGGAAAATAAACAGGGGAACCATCTAACTAGCTGGGGGGAAAAAAAGCAACAACAAAAGAAAAAAGAGCTGTAATTATGAATGAATGTTATGACTGTTCTGTAATTCTATAGAAAGCGGGGGTGTCATTCGTATCAGCACTACCCTTACCTTCTAAGTGCTCTGCTCTGAGCTTCATTTCTCTTTCTCTCCTCCCATTCCCTTCCTTTTTCACTTAATTTTATATTGCTTTAATCGTATAAATTCCTACAGCTAGATTCTATGATATGTATAATCTATTGTATTATTATTTTTCTCAGTTGGAGTTGAACTACGTCCTTATTAAATATTTTTGGAACGGTGTTTGCTCATTACTAAGTATTTCTGTGCAGCATAATTTCTAATCCCTCTTCTGAACTACATACTGAGATCCTTCACTTGCAGATTTTACCTGCAGGGCAGTCCCAGGCACTGATTGCGTAATGAGCGGCTCCCTTCGTAAATCAGCCGCTAATTACAGGCAGGTTGCGAGCGTAATTTGAATGAAAAGGCGTGCCGCAAATTTGCCCCGCGCTTCAAAAGTACGTATATCTTGCCCTTGGTGCTCCGCGACTATTCGTAAACTGGCAAAGGTTAGTGAGGTCAGCTCAGAGTCTTCAGTAGACTTCCCCAAAGCCCAGAGGTCTAGTGAGACCTGAGCTTAACAAGGCAGTGTGTCTGATCTTCAGAGAAGAAAGTGGATGTCTACAAGCTCTCAGCATGCTGCTGTGTCCTTTTCGACTGTGCTGAGTTAGAGTGGCCTATCTGTTATATAGGGCTCTCATGAGCAGAATCATAGGCAATACACACACACACTCTCTCAGATCACAGGAGGCATAAAAAGGAGGGAAGAAGGGAGGGAAGAAAGAGAAAGAGAGCATTTATGGAGACATTCTGGTTCTAATGTCAGCTCCTCCTCTGGGAAGCTTTAGCCTGACCTTTATGTTGGACCGGCGTATCTCTCTCTCTCTCTCTCTCTTTCTCTCTCTGCTTCTTACCATCTCTCTCCCTCCTCCCTGTACGTTCTTTCCCTTTTTACCATTATCCAGTCAGCTTCCCCTTTGCTCCCCATGAATCTCATACACTCGCTTTTGCTGGCTCTGCAGTTGTCGTCGTCTGACGCACGCATGCAAAGAGACATATGCAAACATGCTCGCTTTGCACACGTGCACTCTTCACATGTATGCCATCACTCCTGCCATATCTGGCCGAGCACGCTGCGTAAAAACTCATCTTGCGCCATTAGCGGTTTGCTCGTTCTTACTCAGCCCCCTTCACAAAGGCCCTGTGTGTCAGGCTAACCAGGCCGGGGCTGCAGCCTACTTAAATGGATTTGGGAGACGGCGGTGGGAGCTGCACCTGCATACAGGACTGCAGATTAATAATAGATTGCGATCAGGGTCCAATGAGGAGGAGGAAGCGGTATGCCTGTAGCTGCCAGCTTTTAAGAGCACTTAAGCAGATGAGTGGAAGATGGTAGGTGGGCAGACAGATACTGTGTTCTGCAACAAGGCAGGCGGCAAATAAAGGTTTGCCGTGCTATGTAAAAAACAAAACAAAACAAAAAAAACAATGGTCCTGATGTGTTTTTCACACAGCTTTTACTGCATAAAAGGTGGACTTAGGTGCTAAGGTACCAAAATTATATTCCCATCACTTGAAACCTAATATGTCCCATAATATGAGCTAAAACCATAAATATAAACAGTTCTTTGCAGCTGTAAGTTACTTGAGAATTGGAAAAATAATCATACAAAGCATATATTTAATACATCAGATGTTTATGTGATGTAGACAAGTAGAACTAGTCTCTGACTCAACCCTTAATATGAGTAAGTGGTCTAAAACAATGAACGAGCAAAGGAAAACTTTTTTTTTGACTTATTCTTTGTTGTCTGAAATGAGACTTGACATGGATAAATGCTACATCATGGCAGACACTTTTTCTCCCACTTCCATTCTTTATTTATCTCTTACCTCAGAATATGTTAAATTGCATATTGCATAAGATGAGTCAATGAATTATTTTGTTTAAAATGTCAATTATTAAGCAAAGCGCCGCAGTGTCGTCTACAGTAGCAAAACTGTGTGTTGAAATGCGCCACAGCATTTGAATACAGGAATCATCATTAATAAAAGCATTTTCCATATTATAGTAGTTTTTCAGTTGTATATTCCCATGAAGGGCCCCTGCTATGTATGTTGGTGTCACTCTGACACAGATTCATCCTGACAAGGCAGACACTAGATGAGAGAACGACGAGAAGAGCTTGACTGAATGCCTTTTGAACCCGACTTGACAAATGCCAAATTTAAAAGATGGGGCTCAGAAGATAAAACGGCAAAAGCTAATCCTCAGATATGTCTCAATGTTGTCAAAGGCAGTGATGTAATTCTTTTCTTTTATGCGTCGTCTATATGGAGTCATCACTGGCAAGTATGAAATCGCATTGTGTACCTTTATGGCTGGCAACTGACCACAGTTTTTTTTTTGTTTTTTTTCTTCTGTATAGATCACAACGGCCCTGGAGCACGATGAACAGGCAAGGAAGCAGAGGTTGGCCTACAAGGTGGAGCAGCTCATCTCTGCCATGTCCCTCGAGAGCTGAGAGTGACCCCAACTGTAAGAGAGAACGAGAGAGAGAGGACCACAGTCTCTAAAGGACCTCCAAAAAAAAAAGGGTCTCACATTACTTACCTCTCATCGTGGGCGCTGCAACCACGAACCAGACCTGGGACCTCTGCATCTACAGCCGGACAGACATACAACTGCTTTAGTTTGTGATTCTCCCACCTCCTTCCATAACGGTGCCAGCTAAAAGGCCCACAGAACCGAGACAGAGGCCCCCCGCAGCTGGAGCTGAAAACAGCATAAGTAAAGGGACATCAGCAGAGAAGGCAACAACATGGCTTGTATTTATTTTCTGTTTAGTTTCTTCCCTTTCTCTCAAAGGACTTTTTCTCTGTTTGACAGGAAACTGTGTGTTGTGTGGGTGTGCTTGAGTGTGTGTTTGTGTCATATTGAGAAAGACTCCTGCAAGAGTGCGAGAGCAAATGGAGAAACAGATTTATTCTTTGCTAAGTCAGAACTCGCATCTGTGAGTGTGAAATGGAGAAAGAGAGAGAGAAAGAGAGAAAGAAAAAAAAAAAGAGGCGAGAAGCAGAGGAGCAGATCTCATGTTGGACAGCTGAGATTGCATTCAGATTTCTCAGATTTTATTTTTGTACTTTGTACATTTGAATATTATCAGTTGCAGTTAAAAATATCCACCTGGGATCCCAAAAGTGTCGTTGTATAAAGATATAAAGAGTGTAATACTACATCAGGGTTGCGTGGTAACAAAACAGGCCATGGTCCATGTCTTCTCTCACTCCTTCCCTCCTCAGACTGATGCTCCACAGACAAAGCCTCTGCTCTTTATTTAATCAGAAGTGTACAGGAAATCATGGAACTCGTGCTCGTCATCTAAGAGTCAAAGGAACTTGTGGTGGTCACAGTTCAGCCAGCATGCTTGCACCTAAACTGAGGATGATGGAGATGAAGTCTATAGTGTATTTAGGAGATGACCTCAGATCAGCATTACTCTGGTGTCAAAGGCTTTCTTCAGCAGTTATGTCATTTGTGTATGTACCGGTTGATACTTGCCAATCAGTGTATGTGAATGTACAAAATGTTTTCCTTTTTTTTTCTTTTTTTTCTTTTTTTTTTTAATTTGTTTGTCTGTTTGTTTGTCTATTTGAGTTTTGCAGCAAAACCCAGCTCAGTTGAACTGAGCCCCACAGATATTTGCAGTAGCTCGTCATGTGAAGAACTCCATTCTGTCCGTCCTGGCCTCGGTCCAGCCAACTGCTTCCCAAACATTATTAAACTGAAAATCACTTTCTGCTAGAGGAGAGTGTGCATCTGAATTGTGGCTGTCACTACTGTAACTCTGCAGCTTATAAAGTACAGTATGTCCAGCTACAGTAGCAGTTAGTAGAGACCAGGTGGTTTTTGTACGTTACATACTTCCATAATGTGTCCACTATTTGTATCTTTTAGGGAACTTGATCGACTTTATGTGTACTTTGCATGCACGCAATCACACATCGGAAGTGTTTGAGGGTCCGTCTTTGATTTTTATAAAGTGCCAATGAGTCATGCCTGCTTTAGTTGGCCAGTTGAGATGTTAACTTGATGGAAGATCTTAACCAACCACCACCTATGTCTTCGCACAGATGATAAGAAGTCTCCGTGGGCCTAGTTTGACTAAGTGCCAAAAGATCCCGGTGTTTCAAATTGTTCACTAAATGTGTCAAAATCGGTTAATGCTTTACACAGGAAGCAAAGCTCTCATACTGGAGTGTTCAAGTCCAAGCTCGTATAACTGGAATGCTGAGTTGAAACTCGTGAAAGGTACGAAACATAAGCAGGAGAGAGGAGAAGAAATCGCGTAGTTGTTAGAAAGCACGTATGTTTTATGTTATGTGGATGCGTCTCCTGACTTAAACCAAACAGTCACAAGCTAAAAAGGCTGATGTAACCTGCCAGACTTTAGCTGGATGACAACAAACTGTAGATTCCGTCCTCTGGATAGATGATTTCATTTTCTTCCAAGATACGCCGTATATTTGCTTGTTGTTTACATCAAGTACTTGAAAATAGGTAGTGTTAAAGGTTTGTACAGTATACTGCAATTTTGTGTGTTGAGAGCATGATAAAGGTGGGTGAAAGGTGCTTCTTTTCTCTGTGGCCTTAGATACCCGCCTGCTTAGTGTTCCTGATCTTATTAGTCCTTGAGTAGGGCACCGTCCTTTTTAGTGCTCCAGAGCGCAGTGAGTCTTTTCTTTTTTTTTTTTTTTAAAGTGATACCTGGCCCTGGCACTCAGCTGAGAACTGTCTTAGCGAGATAAGGTAGAAGGAAAGGTGAGGAGGGTACGGCCTGGCTCTGGCAGACATTGCCTAGCACAGCACTCGGCTCGCCCGAGCTGTTTGAAGAGAAGTGTCGAGAAATGAGGAGCGTCGGAGAGGTAGAAAGAGAGAGAACCCCTTTAGCTCTAGTTTCCTGCCCCAGCTTTGAAGCTGCTCTTTGATCTGAGTCAGTTGTGTGCACAGTGTGATCAGGAGATGGAAAGAAGAAAAAAACATCAAACTAACAGTCAAGGAGAAATGTAGGATGAGGTGATGATTGACACGCTGTTGCTGTGTCTGGCCAGTGGGGGCAGGAGTGGGAAAGAGGAGTCGTAATTTATTTCCTCGTCTGAAAAAGCACCTTCGTGCAGAGGCGCATTGCTCACACAAAAGAAAATAAAATTGGAGACCTTATCTCATAATTATGACTCACTATCTCATTGAGTTCTGAAGCTTTTTTTTTTAATGGCTTCTGAGCGGATTTATGAACGTTTATTTGCAGTGGGCATCAGACACGGTTATATCCTCAGAAAGAGTTTGTCACCCTGAATCTGAAATTGTATCTCTGCTCAGATTTGATGCACCTGTCCTTTTCACCTGATAGACTCTCTTAGTCTCAAAGCTTTCCTCTGTGCCTTGCTCACAGTGACATCCTAGCCAAACTTTTGTTAGCTGACATGAAAATGGTATGAAAACTAACCACCCAGTTAAAGAAAACAGTCGTGCAAAATCTGGCAATACTTCTGCAAATTCCTGTCTCATTGGTTTATTTCACGTCATTTCATAATTGTGAGATTGTTTTCTCACAATTCTATTATTATGCCATAAAAATGGGATCCAGATTTTGTAAAAGTTATATATTTTCTCAGTGATCAGATAGCTTTCTTGAAACTATGCGATCGAATCTTGTCGTTATCAGATCTGTCCTCGATCATGACTTATTTTTCTTGAAATTATGAGAATCTTCTAAGTATTTCTCATACTTATAAGGCGGTAGAATATGAGATACAGTAAGGTCTCCTAGTTTTTTTGGTCCTTTGTGAATGCAATGCTCTTCCATACCTTTTTGCTCCTTAAACATCTAATAAAAATCTATAGGTACACAATGGCGCACTTATACAGTACATACACAAAACATAAAGCTTCTTCCTTTTGATTAAGGTGTCTTCCCAATTTCAGCGAATAGAATTGTATCCTCCTCATACCTCACATTGCTTGTATGGAGTAATGCTTTTTAACATTTTAACAGGACCTAAATGCCTTTTCCTTCTCCGAGGAATGAAATGTATGTTTATTAGAGTCCTTCCAAACTCTTATACGAGCTCCCCTGTATACAGAATTGTGATGAACGAAATCAGGCACACAAATTGGTGGAGAACGGCTTTGATTTTTCTCTCAGAGCTCATTTATATCAGGATGTTTCTTATTTTTGTCTTGTGTGAGATTTTTTGCATGCATTTTAATTCATGCTTTGGTTCTGCCTGGTATTCCATATCGACCCGCGCCATCATTAGTCTAACAGCAAATTCCTCCATTTGTAAATGTCTTAAATCACAGCTAAATGCACCTTTTCTTTGTGAAAGAGATTTTTTTTTGTTAGTAAATAATAGCTTGTTTCCATGCCGTACACTCGTTTTTCTGGGAACCTTTTTTAATTCAGTTTGAACTGAGAAGAGGAAAGTTTGTTTACTCTTTCTGCAGCGCAGAATCCCATTTGACTGCCGGTTGTGTGAGATATGGAGAGATGCTCAGAAACACAACCTCATTTCAGATGAAGCTGATTACTAATTGAAGATGCTTTGTGCACTTTCTTGCTCTTGGTGAAATGTTTTGCCGAAGAGATGGTGTTGTGGTTTTTTTGACTGGCACATGTCATTCCTTATACAAAACAAAGCATTTAACTCGCTTTATTTTGTTTGCTTTTTGGCATCAGACAGAGGACATGAAATCCAGATCAATGTATTACTCTCAAGTCAGAATATCACCAAGTATAAAACCAGTATCCTTCCATTTTAAACATTGTAAACAAACCGTTTGTAGACACTGGAGTTCTGTAAAATAGTAATTATTGGCAACGACGATGATGATGATGATGATGATGATGATAATAATAATGGCTGTCTGTTCTTCTTGTTTTATAAAAGTGTTGTGAAAATTGTAAGAAACTTAAAGTATTTAAAAAGGTTGTTCTCTTGTTTTTTATTTGCTTTGATTTTGTTATGATAATATATTATTGTGTACCTATTGTAAATATGAAGCACACCTATTTTGCAAGCCAAGGATTCACTTTGTACTGTTGTTATATATAAATAAACTTTGCTGGTTAAAAATTGCATAGAACCAAAACCTGTATTTATGTCTTTTCTATTTTGTGAGGGGGAGATGGTAGGAAAGTTATATTGGAGATGCACGATGTTGGATTTTTGCAGATATTTTCCAACTAATGTTGGCTGATAAAATGCAATGCTTTTCAATTATACACATTCAATAAGCAAAATAAGCAAACTACTTCAACTTACATGGAAAACATGTCTTATCTAGTTTTGTTTAGTATATTTATTTGTGATATAGGCATCTTATCTGGCTGCAAGTTCTTATTCTGGCCATTTTTAAAGTCTTTATCAGCAGATACTGATGATGATGCTGATATCATTGTGCATCTCTAATTCATTTAAACCATGTCTCGGTGTATTTTCTCACTATTGCATTAGAAAAAAAGAAAGAGCAGAGTCAGTTATCTTTAGTTAATTTGTATTGTAGGTTTATTCTGAACCATACAGAGTACAACAAACCGAGTCGATCTCTGGAGCATCTGATAAAGCCATGAAGCGCATCCAGTTAAATACAGTTCTTTATGCTGTCCAACGTGCATTGCAGAATCTAATATCAGTCTGTGGGAAGCAAGCGTTCACATTAGTCATCCTCTGACATTTTTCTTGTCATCCTCTGAGCGGTTACATTCTGTATGTTCTGACTTTTGCAAGTCATGTTTACATTGAAACTTTATAAAATCTCTGCCTATCTTGAGAGCTGGTCTTTGTGACCTAGAACAGCGTCTTCTGAGCAGGTGGAGTGACGCAAATGGAGCTTAGAAAAAAACAGAAAAGGAAAAAAAAGAAGAAGTATTTTCTTTCATTTGTTCACTTGTTAATCAGCAAGGCTCTGTGCCTCCCAGTTTTACATGAACATTTGGACATTTCTCATATTGTGATTTCTTTCAATCTTCTAATTATGTGTCATCATTACAGTTTAGTTCAGGTCAGTTTGTTGTTATTCAGACACCTAAAAAACGTTGGCTAAGAAGTTGTACCCAGGAAGAAATAACATTGAGCAGTAATATGTAGATTAGGCCTATAGCAAATAAATGAATAAATAACCCAGAAATTAGTAGTAAAAAATAATTACATTTTAACATATGTGATTATATATATTTGTATACATTTCTAAATGCATATTAAACATATGTAAACACATGCTTTATATTTTTATTTATTACAACCACCAGCTAATACCTAACCTGGTTGTATAGGATGTACAGTCGTCCTCAAATTTATTCATTCCCTTCCATTAAAGACAAGGCTAAATTCAAAATAGTCACTCAAATAACTAGAAACTGAAAAAAGTAATCATAAATTTGTTAAATTGTGATTAGTGAAGGGCTGCAAGGTGGTCAGTGGTTAGCACCATTGTCTCACAGCAAGAACGCCCCCGGTTCGCATCCCAGTGAGGACACCCGGGATCTTTCTGTGTGGAGTTTGCATGTTCTCCCCATGCAGCGTGGGTTTTCTCCAGGTTCTCCAACTTCCTCCCACAGAAATCATGTTGAGGTTAATCAATTCTAGGTTGTCCGTAGGTGTGAAGGTGAGTGTGCTTGGTTGTCTGTCTCTAAGTGTAGTCCTATGGATGGATAATTTAGTGAAATAAGCATTGCTTTTGAATTGTGGTTGAAAAAAATAATCTGAAAAACAAATTAGAGCCTTTTGCTGATGAGCAGTTGAGCATTCATTCATCCATTATCTATACACTGCTCAATCTTCACCAGGGTCACGGGGGGGCTGGAGCCTATCCCAGCTGACTTAGGGTGAAGACAGGGGACACCCTGGACAGGTTGCCAGTCTATCGCAGGGCTACACTTAGTGATAGACAACTAAGCACACTCACATTCACACCTACGGCCAATTTAGAATCACCAACTAACCTCAACATGTTTTGGACTTGTGGGCGGAAGCTGGAGAACCCATGCTGCACAGGGAGAACATGCAAACTCCACGCAGAAAGATCCCAGGTGTCCTCACCAGAACGTGAACTGGCGACCTTCTTGTTGCAAGGCAACAGTGCTACCAACTGCACCACCTTGCAGCCCAGCAGTTGAGCAGTGGGCCAAAATACCTGTCAACAGGTGCAGAAATCTGATTGAGAGTTACAGTAAACACTTGATTGCAGTGATTGCCTCAAAGGGTTGTTCAACAAAACATTAGTTTACAGGTCCCATCATGCATTTTTTTTGCTTGTGTTTTTTTTTGTTTTTTTTTGTTTTTAATATTTCTGTTGAACCACAATTCAAAAGCAATGTCATGATTTTCATTAAATTTTCATTTTTATGTTTTTTTCCTTCTTTAATGGGAGGGTATGAATACATTTGAGGACGTCTGTACCTCCGAATGCAAGGGTTCCAACTCACCCACAGACAATGCTTTGGGAGGAGTAAGCAGGAAGCATGATGTTGCAGAAGATTCACTAAGTTACACAGTTGGCCTGAATTTAACATACTGTTTGTTTAGCCTGAGTCTGTCTCCATACAAATGTGTATTGAACAGCTGTTTGTGCTCTTGTTTGCTGTGTGTCTAAACAGACAACTACCACTGAACACATGAAGGCCTTCAGGCAAGATCTGAACAGTTACAGACTTTTCATTTTCTCAGGGAATATTATGGATATTTTTTCGTGATGGACATTGAAGATTATGGCATCTGCAGAAAGTGTAAGTACCAGTACATATGTTGCGTTCTCTCTCTGTGTTCATGTTTGACGTTGTAAAGGATTTTGATTTGGGGGCTTTTCAAGTACCTTAATGGCCTCCATGTGTTTTGTGTTATCACTGCTGACCTGCACTTGTCTCTTTCACCTCCCACAGTAACCTACAGAGGTGGAAAAAGTACTAGTATCCTGTACTTAGATAAAAGTACTGATGCCGTGTTGTAGAAATATAAAGTAAAAGTACAACAGTGTGAATTAAAACATACTTAAAGTACCGCATTATGCAGAATGGCATATTTGAGACTAACGCATATTATTGGATTATCATTACTGATGCATAAATGTGTTCATTGCTTTAATGTGGCAGCTGGTAATGGCGATTTAACTACTTTTTATAGCCTGGTTTATCTACTGGGTGGCCTGTGAATTTGCCCCTGGGGATCAATGGGACCAATGACTATACATATTAATTATATACATGTTCACTCTGTATCGGCTACACACCACACTGTTCATACTGTGTATATACTATATATATTTCGCACCTTTTATCCCCTGTTCATTCTGTTCATACCCTCAATTAGATCTTTACATTTTCTACATTTATCTTTCCTCATATTTCTAGTTATCCAGCAGACTAATATTACCTGCAGCGTATTCCAATTATATACTTACCATGTTCTTGCTGTCATTGTACTAATACTGTATACACCCACACTGCATGTACTATATATGTTACTTATACATCTTGGATATTCCTTTATCTTGCATGCACTGTTTATCTTGTTAATGCTGCTCATACTGCATTTCAGATAGGACACTTTGCCAGATTTACCCATCTATTTGGGAATGGCATGCATTTGAGTTTGGTGGTGACTCTGCTTGAGTGATGCTCTGGAACAATCTGAGCAAGCATGAAAGTCCCTGAGATTACAAACTCCTCAGTAGAGCCTTAAATTCACAATGTTCAAATGAACACAGTATGAACATAAAAACAAGGAGACCAACTTAAATGGTCCTCACTTTACAAAATCCCCGTTACAATTATGAACCATCTGTGCTCTACAGTCCCACAATATGAGAAACAACCAAATTTATGAAATTGAACTTTTAAGAGGGAGGAGGTTGGGGAGGAGGAGGAGATTTGCTGATTTGTAGAGGCTGGTGCAGCAGTGATGTGGTGAGCGTGGAGTAGGCAGAATGAATGAGCGCTGCCTCAATTATAAACCAGCTAAGTGAGTGGGCTGGACTTAAGCAGCCAATGATTGGACCGAAAAGGCCTTGTGACGTCCTGACTCCCTGCCTGTCTGAACTAATGCATAGGCTCCACATATCTTAGCTCACTCGTGGCACTCTTAAAGCTGTTCCACTCACACATTTACATTGCACTGCACCAGTGCTGCTTTGTTTTTGCCCTTTTTCTTAAATCTTTCTGTGAGGTGTTTGCATGATCTCCCTGTGCATGCATGGGATTTCTTGAGCTCCTTCCTCCCACAATCAAAGACATGTGGTAGGTTAACTGCTGGTTTTAAATTGGCTGTAGGTGAGAGTGTGAGTGTGCATGGTTTTCTGTGTCCTTCTGTTGACCCGTCCAAGGTGGACTTCGTCTTTGCCTAATATCAGCTGGTTTGTAAGTCTCATCTTAAAAGTAGGCAGGATAAAAGAGGACAAAGCAGGTACTCATGATGGATGGATGGATGGATGGATGGATGGATAAACAAAATCTGCAATAGTAACTATTTAAACTTATAAAATAAATATGGGGTGTATAATGCACGGTATTTGCCTCTGAATTGTAGTTGAGTAGAAGTATCAAGTAGCAGAAAATGGAAATACAAAGCACAAGTAAGTCAAAGATGTACCTAAGTACAGTACTTGGGTTAATGTATTTAGTTCTTTTCCACCACTAGAAGCCTATTTGCCTCTTGTCACTCCCCCCCTGCGCATGCATTTGGTTCGAAAACCTCTATCCCACTCCAACAGCATGCGGGCACCACCATGGAGGCGCAGGCCATCTTTTCTTCCATCCCCTCTGGCTCTGGGTTCATTCTCAAATCCTGTATTTCCCACTCACTTCCTGGTGAGCGCCTAACAGAATAACCTACAGCTATAACATGTTGAATTGCAGTCATTTGTCTTCGTGCACGTCTGTTTGTTCAGACTGGGCTGGGCTTCTCCACGCCACCGCAAAGGCTGCAATCACATTAGGTTGCTAATGGAGGTGTGGGTCAGCATGTTTAGCTGGAATGAAATGGCCCTGAGGTCAGTGAATCCACAGAGGACGACTGTGGATGACCACTGAATCATCAGCTCTTTTTTTTTTTTTATTTCTTCCTGCTGTTTGGATGCACTTGTCTCTTATTAACGAC